GTTTGGGAGAGGGGAGGGGCAGGGAGGGGTTGCACAGGAGCGGGTCAGCTAGTGTCATGACCCAAAGGTAAAGAATGCCCAGTGTTCTCAAGAAACAGGGAAGGGGCTAGCCTGGACAGAGCAGAGCAATAAGGGAATGGGGGCAAGGGGCTAGCCTGGGTGGAGCAGAACAAGAAGGGTGTGGGGACAAGGGGCTAGCCTGGGTGGAGCAGAGCAAGAAGAGTGTTGGGACAAGGGGCTAGCCTGGGTGGAGCAGAGCAAGGGCAGTGTGGGGACCAGGTCTAGGTGGTCAGGGATCAGAGAGCATCCTGCAGGCAACTGTAAGGACCTGAACACTCACTCTGACCTTGAGATCCACTGCAGACCTTTCAACCAAGAAAGGGCTACTATGACCCAATGTATCTATCCCTGGGGGTGCTGGAATGATGGAGAGTGAGGGGAGGAGGGACACACCAGCTGGCTGAATTGGTACTTGGTGAGACTCAGGAAGTGAGGGCTGGAGGGAGAAGTGGGCTGAATAATGTGAAAACAGAAAAACCCCAATTGGCTGTAAGAGAGAGAGGCTCTTGGGACAGCCGGTGGCACCACGGCAGCTCTGTCAAAGTCTTGTCAGAATGAGTAGGGCCTGTCTGCCCGATTCCAGACGGAGTTTTCACAAGGAGAGACAAAGAAGCCGTAGATGGGCGTGAGGGAACAGGAGCTCGGTTGCCCTTTTACCTTCGAAGCTACCTGCCAAGCCCCGAACTTCAAAGAAAGAGACAGGAAAGGCAGACTTGGAAACACAGAAATAGACTTGAAAAGACTTGTTGTCAAGTTTTCTCTCCCCCTACTCCCCTCTCTCATTTTTTTCCTCTAAGTGACTGGCTCCCCTTACATCTGTCTCTCTGTGCCTTCCCTCCCCATCCCCACCCCACCCCCCTCACCCCGCCCCCCACCCCGTATAGCTGAGGCTCAGACTGCGGTCTGGGTCTGATCGCAAACCCACAGGGTCCCCTTTGACACTTGCCTATTACAGGCTTGGTGGGACTTCCAATGGGTTGTTTTAACTAATTAACGGCAGGACAGAAGCCAAGTCTGCTCCCCTCGAGTGAACAGACCTCTGGGTGGTTTCCCAGCGGGACATGGGGCTTCAGTTTTAGCTTGAAGAGAGCCAGCCAAGGATCTGGGTGGCTGTGTTTCTCGATCTGTTCTCATTCCCCAGCAGCCCTCAGCTCCCATCTCTCTTTTCCATCCAAGCTCCCTGACCACCCCCTCACACACCCTCCTGTGAGGACACTCAGCTGGTACTCTTGCACATCTCAGATCAAACCAAACCATACTAAAATTGTGTACCAGGTTTGACGTAGGTGCCTCACGATGCCATCCCAGTTTGCTATTTCCGAGGCTTCTAAGTATACAAATATCTGTAGCTATATAAAAAGACAACACCTTCAGGGTTTGCACCACAGCGGGGGCTATTTTTAAGGCTGCTTTGAATTGGGCTAAAAAAAATTCACTCCGTGGCTCACCTTGAAAATATTCAAAGGTGTCTCGATTCTTTCTTGCCAGACACAAAGCCTCAGTTTCTCATGCCTATCCCTCTGTGCCCCAACCTAAATGTGGGCCTAACACTTAAGGTGATTTTTAGAGGATTCCCTGAAACTCCAGCACCAATCCAAGGCACTGAACCAAGCATACCTTACCTTAGCGGGCTCTGTGCGTGCTAAAGGTGGGCCTTGCTAGAAAACACTAAGCTTCTAGAGGAAATCGTTTAAAGGGTACCATCAGCAGCATTCCGAATGAGAATAGTCAGCAGGTCAGAACAGTGGGAATAAAGCATGGTCAGGGGGCCAGTATGAAGGAAAGAAACTGAAGAGTCCCGTGCCAGCCTGGGCAGTTCTGTTGGGCTGTGTGTGCAACTAAGCCCCAAGAGAAAAAGGCAACAGAGCAGGCCCTTCTTTTAATAGCACAGAAAACCAGGAGACCCACTGCAGCCGGGGAAATAGTGGCACGTAAGCGACACGCGTGATTAAGACACTCGACACGCGTGATTAAGACACCCCAGCCCCACCATCCTTTCCCCTCTCTGCCAAAGCTGTTGCCGAATCTGAGAAAAATCACACCGGGTATGGCCAACTCAGTGTTGAAAGATCTTCCACGGCAAAGCAAGAGGTTACGACTGGACATGTCTGTGGGTCCATTTTTTAAATCATGTCTGTCTGGCACATACGTAAGCCGCGGAAGGAACTTGCGAGCACGGGAATCCATGAGAGCCGCTCTTCGGTGCCTCTTCTCAGCTGTGGTTCCTAACTTGAGGGGATCATTTGGGCTAGGTTAGCCCTCACAGGCTTGCTTTTGCCACACCCCTCTCTGCTCTCTCACTGTGCTACGCGCAGTTTTAAAGCAAGTTTGATCTGTTTTTCATTCCATAGACCTACACAGTGATCTAAGGTCAAAGGTGGACCCCACACATACCATAGCAGAGAGATTTTTGTCGGCAGAAACGCCAATGAAGTGGCAGAGCCCCCTTTGGCCTCCCCTGGGCACAAAACACAGGATCAGGGACCTTCTTGAGCTCTTCTCTCATGCAGAGGAACCCCTTGAGGCTTAAGGTTGCAGGGTCCTAAAGGACACCTTCCCCATCTGCTTAGGGTTCAGAGAAGGCTCCAGCCAGCAGCCAGGAAGGAAAGTGGTGGGCAGCCAGGACATGCCCGGCAGCCGCGTGTGGGCCACCACCAGGCAGTCACACCCCTACCTCTCTCCTTCATATTCTTCTTTTTTCTTTTCCTTTCCATGCTCTCTTTTACTGCCCCCCTCTCTCCTAGTCCCCACAGTGTCTTTCCTTCCCCCCTTCTTGCCGTGGAGGTTAAATAGAAACAAGTTCCCCACCTTCCAGAATGAGCACCCGCCCAGCGCCTCATTCTTCCCAGTCCTCGTGGTCTGAGTCAGTGGCACTGATTTATTCTGGCTCCATCCCTCATCATCTGGTCCTTTTGCTTGGGACCAAGGGGAAGCAGAGCATCGTGACAGTGGAAGCCTGTGGCCAAGGCTGCTCACTTCATAGCGCCAGGAAACAAAGAGAAGTAAGAGGCAAAAGCTAGGATCTAGCTGTTCCCTGGAAAAGCGTGTCTTCCTCCAGCGACATCTTGCCAGCCCCAGTGCCGCCGCCACCCTCACTGATCCACAGATGAGTAAGCCAGAGTCCTCACAACCTGTTCTCTCTGAAAATGTGCTCAAAGACACAGTGGGTGACGGGGAGACCAGTCACCTCCACACCGCTTACCCAGTCAAACTCACCATCAAACTTAGCTATCCCCCAGCCCAAGCCACATTCTAACCTGTTTCTCATTGTCCCCCTGATGCCTTTGAGAGCACAGTTGTGCAGCACACTCATTGCCTAGACGGATGCCTTTGTATAGGAAAGGCAGATACGGGCTGGCAAGACGGCTTCGCGGGTGAAGGTGCAGACCACCAAGCCTGACAACCTGACTACCATCTCCGGGACCCACATGGTAGAAAGAGAGAACTAATTCCCATGAGTTGTCCTCTGATCCCCACATGTATGCCTTAGCATGCATATGCCCTCTCCAATTTAAAAAAAATGTTTTAAAAATGCAATGGGTTGGGCTGCTTTTCCAGAGGACCTGGGTTCAAATCCAGCACCCACGTGGCAGTTCACAACTGTCTGTAATCCCAGTTCCAAGGGACCCAACACCCTCATACAGACAAACCAATGTACATGAAATAAAAATAAATAAATCATTTTTTTAAAAATGCAGCGGGTTGAAACTATAAATTTAAATTTGTGAGTTTATAATGTTGCTCAAAACACACTTTTTGAAAAAGGGAGATTTAGGTTAGTAGCTGATGAAGCTGTGAGCAAAAGCGACCCCATCCTGTTTCACCTTCACCTAGGCACTTGTGTGTCCTATCACTCTGAGCCTGTCATAGAAGTTGTCATTGGAACCTGCCACGATTCCAGTCCACGGCAAAGGGAGAGGCCTGGGTGCTCGCCTGCCATGCCCGCCCTCTCCAAGAGAAATATTTTCATTTGGTTTGCTTCTCACTTGAAGAGTAGAATAAGACCCCCAATAATATGCTGCTAGGTAACACAGCCGACAAAAGAAAAGTCTAGTAGAAAATTGTGGGGCTGAGGATATTTTTGAGGAACTCATCATGCTGGAATCTAGGCAGTAATCAGTCAGTTTAAAACGAGACTCTTTTGTACCTTGAATGTTGCCAGGGAAGAAAATCAAAGGTTAAAAGAGAGGTGTGCTTAGGGCTACACTTTGCATGCCTATTCTGTGTGCTTACCGCATGCATTTACCCGTTAATTACATGAAGGAGGAATGAGGCGCTACACTGTGGCACAGCTGTTTACAGTGATTGCTTTGAGCATGGTATGTTTCTTTCCAGCGTCTTTCCCAAAGTGTCTCATCACCAACATGCTCAGTTGATCATTCTTTGCCCTAAATCCCCAAATGGAATCAGTCGCCACCTTGATGCTTTAATTGCAGCTGACTCGGCTTATCTGGAGAGCTCTGGTGTCTGTCCCTGACTCCCTTGGAAGCTGCAATAATGACAAATGCTTGAAAACCAAAGTCAAGTCAAAAGATTGCTGGGCTTGGCTTTCCTCCCCAACCATTGTCCAAAGCAAATCTGGGATGAGCATCTAATTCCAAAGCAACTGTGGATCTTCAGCCTCGTTGGGGATCTCAGCAGTGGGGGGGTGGGTGAGAGGGGGCATGCTTGGTGTGTTCATGCATCTATGAGCACCTGGGAGGGGAGGAAGAGGTCTAAGTCACGCCTCTCCCCTACGGTTCAGCAGCTTGCAGCTCTCTGAGAACTGGGCTGAAGTGTCCACCCAGGTAAGAAAGCGCCCTCCATACAGGTTGAAAGACATTTGGGTGGGATGGGGGGGGTCACCGCTGTAGTGAAAGCTTAGTGGAGAGGTCACAGCCCTGCTCTGGCAATCCTCCCCCCCCACTCCATCTCTCTCCTGACACTTTCTCTTGCTTCAGGGAGATTCAGAGAAAAAGCTTCAATTCTCCACAAGATTGCCAAGAAGAAATGCCAGGTGGATGAGAACGAGAGGCAGAACGGGGCTGCCAATCATGTGGGTGAGTGAGAGGTATCCGTCCCTTGTCCTTCCATGGTGGGTAAGCAGGGGGTGGGGCTACAGAAATCTCCGTGGGTAAGCTGGCAGGGGCGACACAGAAAGGCAGAACGCAGTGTGAGCGCCCCCGACCCAGTGTCAGTGCAGGCCCTTACTAAACAATGAAATAAGCCCCTCTCCTGCACCTGGGACAGGGCAGGAATGGGCATGTATGTCACCAATAACACTAAGAGAAGTCCATGGGCAACAGTAATTCTAACCAAATCTCCAGGCATTCTGATCAAGAGGTGGCAGGCACTTGGTTTCAGAAAGCAACAAAAAAGAGAAACACACCCAAGTCATTAATGTTAAGCCAGCGGTGGGGGGGGGGGGCTGCTTCTGTACCCTTAACTGGTGACTAAACTGTATTTCTATGATACGCTCGCTGCATCCCCACCACCAAACTACCGCTCACTCACCCCAACGGGGTCCTTTTGAGACAGTGCCATTTTATCTTGCTCAAAAATTCAACAGTCTGGGGGCCTGGGGAAATGAAGCAGCAGATAACAGTGCTTGCTGCCCAAGTGTGTGGACCTAAATTCTCAGCACTCACATAAATGCTCGATGGGAGTGGTGGCCCCACCTGTAAACCCAGCGTTTAGGAGCCAGAAGATCCCCAGGACAAGATAGATAGCTATACTAGACAAATTAGCAAACTCTGGGTTCCCCCAAGAAACCCTGCCTCAGTAAATAAAGTGGATATCAACCTCTGGCCTCCATACACATGTGCACAGGTGTACAGCCCCCCACACACACACACACACATGCGGGAACACATGTACACGTGTCCTCACACCACACACATATACACAAGTTAAAAAAAATAAAGTTAGGCAAAATCAGCTTAGGTCTGTCTTGGCTGACTTTTCTAGAACTCCTGTGTGACCAGATTGTGACATTCAGGCATCTTATTTTAACTTGGGGCATCATGTTCCCTTTCTCCTGTCTGAAACTATAATATAGCTCTCAATTCTAAATTCAGACTAAATTTAGCCTAATCTGGATCCATGCTGTAAATGAAGCTATTGCCCAAGTGACTAAAATTATCTACAGACAAATCTCAACAGTTTTGCCCTCAAAATACTCCGTAGACAACTTCCTGCCTCTCTTACCATCCTGAATTCTAGCCCAGGCAAAATTTTCAGCCAGAGAACAGATAGGAGTCAACTGAATGTCTATGGAGAAAGTGGACCCAGATCTGTTCAAATGTTGACTAGGATTGGGATATGAATTGCAGGTTTTTGCCTGATCCTCTCTGCACCCCTGAACCTGGACACATTTTTTATATGGAGCAGAGTGTTGATTTTGTGTTGTAAGGTCATCGGGGAACGTTATTGCCTGATTTTAATCTGCATGTGCACTCTGGGTTCAAGTACAAAGGCTACTTTTTCTGTTCCACTTGTTGGTTTTTCTTTTGTGGGATGAAGCAGCTTGGAACAGAAGATTTATGTGTCTGGGTTCATTCCCAGACCTCCTCTTGCAGACCGGTGACTGGAGGCTTAGATTTAATCACCCATGACATATAACTCCAAGGAACCCCACTGCTGATGGGGCCAGGCAAGGATGTGGTAACCAAACAGGGTGTGTATGGAAATCTATGCTTTCCAAAGGAACCCCGGGATTTATTTTCATATTTTCTGTAACAAAATGAAAACTGTGGTTTAAAAGCACACTCATGTCAGAGGCTATGACTATGACATAAGTTCTTATTTGTCTGTGTGTATCCTGGAACATCTAAAACCCCTTTGAATCCTATGATTATGGGCTCGAGTCTGGCCTTAGCAATCTGCTACTGAGTGTCTATGAGGTCTTTCGTGTCCCCCACGAAACTAATATGCTTTAGTATAAATAACTGAATGAAACATACTGAGATAACTCAGCATGGCTTCAGGCAACGGAGCATCCCACACTACCGACACTATGAATCATGGGTGGATCAGGGAAACCCAAATCCCTACACTTTCCTTACCACCGTCTACGCCTCAGGACACCACAATTGAATTCATGATCATTCCCCTAGTATTTCCAGTATTTGACTTCTTCAAGACAAACATTTTCATGGAGTTCTTTTTGTTGGGGGCAGATAATAGTATCTCACTACATAACCCAGGCTGGTCTTGAACTCTTAAACTTGTGGCTATCCTCCTACATCTACCTACCAAGTGCTGAGATTTTGGGCATGTACCACTATGTTCAGCCCCACATAACTGTCTATTTTCTTATGCACTAATGACAGAAATACTTGGTTCTTCTGAAATTTCTGGGGGGGGGAACCTTCTGTTCTTCTATGAGCATCCTGTGATTGCTCACATCTGGCACAGATGAGCAGACTGCCGTCCTGACTCCTGACTCAGCACCATCGCCTCCTGGCCCTGAGCAGAGTTGGTGCCGTGCCTTCCTTTTTCTTTACTTAAAAGATGTGTATTCATTCTTACGTGTCTACATGCGCCCCACATAGACACAGGTGCCCAAGGAGGCCAGAGTGGAGTGTTGGACCACTTAGAACTGTGGCTAATGGCTGCTGTGGTCCACAACGTAGTTGCAGGGAACTGAGCTCAGTTCTCTGGGAGAGTAAGAAGTGCTCTTTGACTGCTGAGCCGTCTCCCCAGCCTCAATGGAAGACTCTCTCCTCCACTCACACTTAAGTTCCAGTTTAACCTAACGGGGCCTGAACACTGGTCACCTGGAGGTGCTTCTCTTAGCCCTAGGAAAAAAGGCAATTGCAGTGAGAATGAGATCCCTCGTGCCTGGCTCACTGGCTCTGCCCAGGGTCTGTCCTGAGTGCTTTACACGCACTTTCCTGCCTCTCTGCAGCAGAGGCAGTGGTAGCAACAGTAGCAATAATGGTAGCAGAGGCACTGTTAGCAGCCACAGAGGCTGAGGCAGATGCTGAGAGTCACAAATCATAAGCTGTAGAGGAAGAGTGGAAAAGCAGACCCATTTGGTTCCTAGTGTTACAGAGTCCCGGGCCTAACCGGCCTGTGAGACTCTTCTGCTGTCTCAGCAAAACATGACTACGCTTGCTGATCTGTAGGCTCTCTCTCTCTCTCTCTCTCTCTCTCTCTCTCTCTCTCTCTCTCTCTCTCTCTCTCTCTCTCTCCCTCCCTCCCTCCCTCCCTCCCTCCCTTCCTCCCCCCTCTCTGTCTAAGAAGTGTTACAGACTTAGGCCTTGTTCCTTGTCTCAGCTCCCCCTTGCTTCCCTTGGAACAGGACGCCCAGTGCAGAATGTGCTATGAGTGTTCTCGGGATTGTAAAAAGAGACAGGTGGCCAAGTCCCCCTTCCCCGTGCCTCCCTCCTCCCCTCCTGGCACTGGCAGTTTTGTAGCATGAACACTGAAAGCATTATAGAGCCGAAAGCAGTACCTGCCTGGTCATCAGCCACAGTGAACCATTCACTTCATGGAGGAGGTGTCCGGGCCCGGAGGAAAAGGGCCTGACAAAGACGGCAGGCCTAGCACCCCGTGTGGGGTGGGGGTGTGCTGCTGCAGCTATCTAAGTGTCAGATACGTGACTGTGTCCTTGCATGACGCATGGCAGCCGAGAGGGTCTCCAGTGACGCCATGTGTGGTGGAAACCAGAACACGAGGCAGCTCAGGGCGAATGGTGAAAACCCTTTACCAGTGCCCAACACCAGCTCAGGTCTCAGATGCCTTCTCCTCACCTGGTCAGCGATTTAGAACACACTTTCCAACATGGCCCCTTTCCCCCGTTGATTCTGACTGTTCTCTTTGCTCTTAAATTATGCCACAGAAAAAATCGAACTCCCCAACAGCACGAGCACAGAGGTCGAAATGACACCATCGAGTGAAGCCTCGGAACCTATGCAGAATGGGAACCTCTCCCACAGCATCGAAGCTACAGATGCCCCGGTACGGTGCCTGAGCATGACAGTACAGGTTCCCTGGTGACCCAGCTCCCGGCTGTGTAGACACCAAGGAGGAACTGATTCGTGTGTGTGTGTGTGTGTGTGTGTGTGTGTGTGTGTGTGTGTGTGTCTTTCCCAGGGCCTCGCGTGAGGGGAACTCTGTGTCCATTGAATGAACATGCAAACTGTCTAAGCCATTGTTTTCTCAGGGCAAGGAGAAGGGCAGCTGTATCAGCATCTGGGGATGAAAAGGCATAGGCTAAAGCTTTATGGCTATGTCTTTAAAGCCAGTGCTACATATCAGAAAACTCAGAGTCATCACAGCTCCATGAGATTCTCAGTGGTTGAAATTAATACTCTTCAGCCACGCCCACTGTTCAATCACAACCAATGAACTGTGCCTCCTGGAAATATAATTAATAATACCTAGCATTTGTCAAACACCTACGGCATGCCCATATGTGGTGCTGGATTCTTTAAGAATGCCTATCCTCACGCATCCTAGCTAAAGGTACAGGCATTGGTGCCTGCACCATGCAGCTGAGGAAGCAAGCTGGGTGAGGTGAAGTGATTAACTGGGTTACCTAGTTGTGAAGAGTGAGCCGAGACTCCATCTCAGGCATGTCTCCGTGCAATGCCTGGGCCCCTTCTGCCATGGGCACTGCCTGTGGGCAGAGCCATGTGGTGCTTACTAGATATCTGGGTCTTGTCCTGATCAAATAAATCAGGACCTAACAGCATGGGGCCCCAGCTTTGCGTCTACCCAAGTACCCTCCATCAAAGCTGCACAGACTGAAAGGTGCTTCCAACTTCTCACAGCAGATGGGGAAAGACCGGCCATGATAAATGTAGATTCCGACTTTTGAGTGCCGGACTGAGTGAGGCCCAGGGTGTGGCCTCCCGGTGATGACAGTGCTTCTGGCCAAAGGACCACCCTTTGGATAGCATCACCCTAAAGTTTGCAAGGCAGTCCTGTCCCAGAATGTTCTCACTGAGCTGTTGTACAGTACCCACAAAGAGAACGGAACCTCCAGCCAGTGTAGTCTGGTACTGCCCTCTGGGGAAATCATGTTACTCTTTACCTGTTGTCCCGATCTCTAAGAACAATTTAGAGGGAGAGTGTCTCCATTTACCTGAAGAGAGCTCAGCTGTCTGTCCTTGTGTCCTCTGCCTTCTCGCCCTCCTGCCCAGAGCCCTGGGCTGCCACCATGTCAGCTCAGCAGTGATCTGGCAGAGCGGCTTATGTCCACACGGATAAGCAGCGTGTGGTGGCAGAGGGCAAGCCCCAAGGACATCTGGCCGCCCTTGGGGCTGGCACAGTCACGGGTGTGCAGAGGGACACCTCATCACCATGCCACTCCATCTGCGTCCCTTCAAGGGAGGACCTCGCTGCAGGGGAGCAAAAGGCTTGCTGACCTCTGTCCACAGAGCTGCCCCAGGTCTCAGTGCAGGGAGATGCAGAGATGAGTTTGCTTGCCCTAGCTTGACTGGAGAGCAGTCGAGCTATCAAAAAGTCATCACCACAGCTGACTACAGTGTGGCCTGCTGATGCATTCCAGAGCCACAGGGCAAGTGGCCAGCCTGACTGGGCACTCACTCCCTCCTCCTCCTGAAAATCCAGATCCTGAAAACACTACCTCATTGGTGCTACTGTGAGTGCTAAGGGAGTCTTTGGCACAGAGCCACATGCTATCCAATTACATCATATGCTCAAACTGGCTGCTTAAACAGCATCCGCCCCTTCCTTTAAGGATTCCTTACAGGTAAAAATGGAAAGGGGTTATCTGTGTATACGCAGGATATAAACAAGTCAGCCAACAAACATGTGGTGGTTAATAATGGCCCAGAGTGATCATGGAGGTCTCTGTGCACAGTGCTCTGGGAGCCTGCCCCCCCCCAAAAAAGAAGAAGAAATTGGTTTCATTTTCATCTAGGGAAGATATGAAAATTGTAGAACACATGCCATTTTAGCTGGGCATTGATGGATGGTTGGAATTTGTCACTCCAAGAAGAAAGAAATGGAATGACAACCTGTGCAGGTGTCCAACTTGTGTTTAATGATTGCTGAACAGCCAAGCTGAGAAAAACCGCACACGCCAGGAAGTGTAAATTGGCTTGAGGTTGTTACCTATCCATCAGATCAGAAGGCAGTCACTGTACATCTGCATCAGACAGTGTTCTGGCACAGCTGATGGCCACAGGGACACAAGAGGATGAGGGCACAGGGGAGTGCAGAGCCCCCGGGAAGCCTCACTGAGGAGGTGTCCTTCGAGCTGAGTGTGTGCCTGTGGAAGGAGCCTGTCAAAGGTACCGCACTAGGAGGCAAAAACAAACTCGGTTTGTTTGGAGACAGCATTCCTGCGACTGCACAGGGAGCCAAAAGAAGGAGACAACAGCGGGATGGCTAGCCTTTAGGTGATGGAATGTTGATTCTTTTGGACATCCCAGATATGACTGGCACTACCAGGAGCCCCCGAGGCTGCATCCAGACTGTATTTAAAGCTATAGTGAGACAGAGAGGTCCCTGAGGGTTTGATGGAGGGGAAAAGTTGATGGCACTTGGACAAGTGCAGTAGGCCCAGAGGAGGAGATAAATATACGTCATGAACCATGCTGTGCCGTCTGTACAGCTCTTGAGAGTGCAGAACCTTGACGGATTTAAGAAGCAATGACAGCTTTTGGATGTTTTGCAGGAAGACAGTTCATCTCCTTCAAGAAAGGGAGAGGGACCTGGAACTGACTTGTGAAGCAACCTTGATTCTTATCTAAATTTAAACTGGAAAATAAAATTAAAAAGAAAAGAAAAGAAATGACCAGGTGCCTGGAGATGTAGGTTGGTGGTAGATCACTTACCTAGCATGCATAAGGTCCAGGCTCCACCTCTGGTACCACAAAAAGAAGGGGGACAGCGTAATAGAAAAAGACCAGACTTAGAAATGTGATTCAAGAATTTAGAGGTTTAGGGATCAGTGTGTTGGGGTCCATGGGCCAATTTGGCTTGTTGCCTGTGTCTATATGACCCAAGGGGCGAGAATGGTTTGTACATTTTCAAATTGTTTTTGTGAAAAAAGGAAGCAGGAGCATATGGAACAGGGACCATATGGACCCCAAAGCCTGAAATATTTACTGTCTAGCCCTTTGTGGAGCACGGGGGAGGGGAACTGCTTGTGCCCAATATAGACCATCTGTAGTCTTTAAAAAGGAAGTTCTCCTATTCCGGTTTGGAACGATCCTCTGTGTGTGTTGTTAAGTGAAAAAGCACTGTGCCAGAGTGTGTCCTGGATTGTGAGATACAATGGTACCCTGACTGATGCTGACTGGGGAGGGGGGGCTGATCAGCATGCAGGCCTTTTCTTGGGATGCTGCTGGAGAGATCAGCTGTGTCAGTCACCCTCCAGAGACTTTGTGTGCTCCCTTCTGCGGGTTTTGCATTTTGAACCCAAGTAATTGAGTTGCCTGGTGAGGAAAAAAAAAATAGAGCAATAACAATAGAAATGATAATGAGTTAAATTGGGAACGGGGATGTAGCTCAGTAGGTAGAGTGCTTGTCCAGCATCTACAAAACCTTGCCTTTCACCCCAACACCACAAAACTGGGGTACCTGCAATCCCAGCATTTGGGAGGTGCAGGCAGGAGGAACAGAAGTTCAAAGGCATCCTCCAGTACATGATGGTGGTGATGGGTTAAATTAAAACAGTGCTCCTTAGTCATTCAGGGATAGACTATGGTGGCAAACCCCTGGAGTTCAAATCCCAGCCCTTTTCCTTACAATTATGTGCCCAGAGCAAGGTACTAACCTCTCTGTTCTCCACATTCCTTCTCTGTGAAACCGTAATTTAAAAAAAAATTCTTATCTCATAGTGTCAGTGTGAGGCTCAGTCGCTCTTTGAACAGTTCTTAACATATAGTAGCACATTACTCGGGGTTAGTGAAGTTGGTAATACCTCAAAAAAATCTTTTCTTGTTGACTATTAAATAGCAGAGAGACGACAAGGTTTTCAGCTAAGTATTGATTGTAAGGTGAAACATGGCTGGATCTCACAGTTATTTCAGAGCCAGAATTGAGACACTATGACAGAAACTAGCCATAACAAGTAAACAGGAAAATGGGGAGTGGGGGGTTTGTGGAGAAAGCTGAGGCTGCCTGACTGGAAAGACTGGGCGGTGGGTTGGTTTGGGGTTACAACTCCAGGGTAAGAAAAAGACAAGGTTTGCAATCAGGACCCTGTGGCCTCCTGGTACAGATTTGCAGACATGATTTGTTGCCTCTGTTTTGCTAGTTTTGTGTCTTTCTAAATTGTATTTTTATCAAGTTCCATGACAAGTGGGGTGTGCACCCTGACTTTATTCATGGAAATTCTTAGCCTATGCTACTCACTCATTGCTGCTATTCTCCTGAGAGTTCAGCCTGTCTCCTTAATCAACCTGCTCTATTAAAAAAAATCCCCATTTACAAATGAGTTGATCTCACCTTGACCCCTTGGCTCAGAGGTCTCTCCAGCACAGACAATCCACGGCCCATGGCCGGGAAGAGCATATGAAAAAATGCCCTCATGGAGGACACAGCCCTGTGCAGCAGAGGACTTGCTACATGCTAGCCCGTGCAACTCCAGAGGAGCATAGCCTTTTCCACACGGCAGTGCTATTCTCTTCTCTCCACCTGCCTCCCAGTGCTGCACAGAGAAGTGGACTAGAGCTGCCACAGGCTTGCATCCAACCCAAATTTTCAGTATGGGTACTCTCCCTAGACATAGACAGACACTAACGTTTTCTTCCATTAATTTTGACAGTCTGTGGAAAGCTTACCTCGTGCATGTGAGAGGCTCTAGATAGGATCCCCAGAACTGGGGAGTTATCAGGACCACCTAACTGCATTTTAATTTTGTCACTCTAGACAACACCCGGGTGATGGCCCTTGGTCACATGCCCCTTGGCGCTGCCTCCTTGCTGCAGCTGTGTGCTCACTGTTTTGATGCAACTAAACCCTGCAGGTACACTCAGCAGAGTTCAGGATCTAGCTAAAGAGCTCCCTGGTTTAAATGTGCCAGCTTCTTTTCTTCTTTCAAGACAGGGTCTCACTCTATATCCCTAGCTTGCCTGGAACTCACTATGTAGACCAGGCTGGCATCGAACACACAGAGATCTACCTGTCTCTGCCTCCCCAGTGCTGGGATTAAAAGTATGAGTGACCTTTTTTTTCTGTGCTCAGCTCTGATTTGATTTCGCTTGAAGATTTGATTCATCCTTAAGAATGTCTTAATTGTCCTTTTTTAAGTTGTGGCCCATGTATATCCATGGGTAAGGAAATTCGTGTAAGAATATTGCATCTTTGAATAGAAGGATGGATGGATATGGGTGGGTGGGTATGGGTGGGTGGGTATGGGTGGGTGGGTATGGATGGATGGATAGATAATATGCAGAATGAAAAACAGACACACAGTCTGTAAAATGCAGCCTCTTATTTCCTCACCTTATAATTTGAGCATCTCCATAGTGTATTAAAGCTGTCTTTTTTTTCCATTTTATAGCAGCCCTGATGTATTTCTCCATAGGGCTACTTTCTCTAAACCCAATAGAGTTTTCAAGACCTGCTTTCTGCAAGCCCCATTGGGTGACTAAGTAAAAGATGAAGAGAGGAAATGTGATAGGGGTGACTGTATGTTTAAATTTTTCCTTTAAAAAAAACTAAATGCTTAAAAATATCTCCTGACTCTTAAATTTAGGTTTCCAAGGGTGCTTTAGAAAAACAATACCATTTTCAAAGTTTGTCATTTATTGCAGATTGGTGCTGCTGTGATCTGAGGGCTTCCTGGAAAGACTTGATAATGCAAGCAGCTCAGACGGTCAGGCATGATAGGAATTTCCAAAATTACCTGTGCACCAGGTCCATGGTACCTGGAATCCATGTTTTCCATTTCTTCTAAAACTTATTACCCTTAACGCAGCAAAAGACATCTCTTTCCACAGTGGTGAGGTCCAGCACAGGAACCCCACACTCTCCTGTTAATCAGTGGGGATGCACGTGGACAGAGTAGGTCAACCCCTGTGAAGTTTAGAACCAACATCACTTTTCCCTATTAGTGAAACTGCCCATCTCTTGAAACATCCATGGACCACAGTGAGAGGATTCTAACAACCTTGACAAGTATCTCCATATCTGACACAGCCAGGCCATAGGGCAGTCGTGGGAGAAAGTTGCCAGATGTCACTGGGAAGGCAATGGAATAGCAAATGATTCCCTGGCCCACCTTGCTGCATGACTTTCTTAGAAAAGAACCCATTTGTGTCAGAGAAAACCCAACAGTAATCATAAGGCAGGCAGAGCTTGAGGCCTTTTGCTGACGAGGCCATTTCCTGGGCATATAATAGTTTTCTGTCAGTTTATATTTTTAATAAAAAAAATTGAGATCTGCTCCCTACATCTGTTGACCTGGATAATATTTACCAAGTGCTTAAGATTCGCTCAGAGGCCTCTTAACATATTTTAAGCATGAAATAGATACAAATTTAAGACTTCTTAAATTTGAATATTAACAGAGAACTGTACCTTATTCGCTGAGAACCCTGATGCTAAGTATTTACTTTCTGAGGAATTTTTTAACTATCTGTTCATCTTTCCCATGGTACATCAGTGACTGACTATCAATAAAAGGATGGAAAGCCTCATTACCACTCTGGAAAAAGAATCAGCATTAATACACTGTTTCTATGGCGCATTCTAACCCACTTGATAATAACAGTTTACGATTATTGTCATGACTCTCCAACTAGCTTCTGTGTGGACAAATCTTTTATGAGTGTGTCAGCAATATTTACAAATCCCTGGAAACACACCAAAACCAGTTTACAGCAATGCAGAAAGAAATCTATCTCTACCATAGCTTGCACCTCGGAATTCCTTGGGCAAATGCACATCGAAGGAGAGCATCGGCATGTCAATGAGACCCTCGTGTGCTGTTCTGCCTGCTTGGAAATGGCCCCTGTCACTCACAATGGCTCTGTCACTCACAACAATGTGTGTTGAAACCTCGGTTTTGGTTCAGCATCTGGTACAAGATGACGTTTTGGGGTTGCCACTGCTCAGTGGGGCCTCATTTTGTGTTTCATGTATGGTGCTGGAATTTTTTTCTTCTCTATGTAAAGCAGACCTTATGATGTCATTATGAGGGGAGGGAATCCCTCCCTACCACCTGCAGCAAATGTGTCTGCCTTTTAAGGAAATCTGTTTTCTAGTTAAAGATTAGCTCTGCCAGTTCAGAATGCCCACACAGAAGGCCAGGCGGACATGTCAGATGGCCCACCCCTTCTAAAGTGGGATGCCATTTGACTCCATCTCCTTTCAGCTTGCTTTGTGTATAAGAGACAAGGGGTAGGGATCTAGAGGTTAAGGACAGACAACAGAGACTGAGGGACATGTGGTAGAAACTATGAATGCAAGGTCAGTGAGAACCTCGGAACACAAAAGTAGGTTGTCCTAAGACTCCAAAAATGAGTTTTTAAAGGACAGTTGAAAAGCAGTTTAAATTAATCAAACACAGTTTCTTTAAAACCAAAGCACATACTCAGCAATGACATTTTAGGAAGAATAGATACTCACATGGTCATCATATCATTCAGCTCAGGCCAATCATAAAAAACATCATGGATGGGGTGACTTAGACAATACAACCCTGTTTTCCTCATGGTTCTGAGGGTTAGAAGTTTCTGGCTTCTGGTCAAGGCTCTCTTCCCGGCTTCTTATTGAGTCTTTCTTCGATGCATGCACACCTGCAGGGACAGGGGAGACACAGAAATAGAAGCCAAGGCATAAGGGACACTCCAGGGCATGAACACGCACTCCAGGGTCTCTTTTTACCGGGTAACTAATCTTTTTGGGTCAGGGCACCATCCTCACAACCTCATTTGACCTTAATTACTTCCTCGAAGTTCCCATCTCCAAATATGGCTCCCTAGCTAGGGAGGCCTTGACATACTTCAGTGTTTTGTGTTCAGCAGGACTTGGTCCTCCCCTCCGGGTAACTGAAGTTTCTCTACGTGACTGTGGTTTTCCTCCACCTGCTCTAAATCTTTTTCTTCTTCAAGACTTCCCTGGTTTTGCTTCCTTTTCATGGAGGAAAGGCAAATGAAAAATGTGTCCTTTAAAGGGGTAGAGCCCTTCAGAGAACCGTCCCAGAACTCTGAGGCGGCTTTGAGCGTAAACTCAGCGTACCATGTTTGACAAGTCCAAGAGTGGCAGCTTTGAGATCCCAGAAGTTCAGATTCCATGGGTACCCGAAGATTTTAAGTCTGTGAAATCTAATGAACCATAAGCCAGTAGCTATTGTGGAAGTGGGTGTCTTAATTAGGGTTGTTATGGCTGTGGTGAAACACCATACCAAAAGCAACTTGGAGAGGAAAGGGTTCGTTTCTCTCACAGTTCCCATACAATAGTCCATCATCAAAAGCAGAGAGGTCAGGAGCTCACACAGGGCAGGAACCTGGAGGCAGGGGCTGATGTAGAGGTCATCAAGGGGTGTTGTTTAATGGCTTGCTTCCCATGGTTTGCTCAGCCTGCTCTCTTATAGAACCCAGAACCACCATCCCAGAGATGACTCCACAATGGGCTGGGCCCTCCCCCGTTGATCGTTAATTAAGAAAATGCCCTACAGGCGGATCTTATAGAGGCATCTTCTCAATTCAGGTTCCCTCCTTTCAGATAATGCTGGCTTGTGTCAAGTTGACATAAAAGTAGCCAGGACAGTGGGTCAGTCCTGTTCATAACCCATGTTCTATTTCTGCAGTTGCTGGACAAGGAAATCTGTTAGCATGTTAACCTCTACAAATTAGCCAGTACATTTTGTAGAGAATGGAGTCAGTCTGTTTGCACCATTTCCTCTGCCAAACACAGGTGGACTGGTGTTTGCATAACCATGGACATCTGTGCAAGTCTCTCAAGGCATCCTACTAGTCATTTGGTTGTTGACCATAGAGTTATTAGCTGTTTTAAAGAGTCACGGTGCATGTGAGGTAATTTTGCCTTTGAGAATCCCGGCACTGGTATTGTTTTTAAGACTGCACAGAGCTCAGAGTCAAGGTGTCACAATATTGTGAGTCTTACCATCTGTTTAGAAGCTCAGTTTCCGACAGAAAGTCAGCTCAAAGCTACCTAGTGAATGAAATAGTGGTTCTCCTCAGGGCTGTGGAATTTCCCCTCTTTGTTTACTGAGCCTTCTATTTATTCATTTTAACTAAGAGAGAAAAAATTAGATTGTTGGTATCACTGCAGTCAAAATGCTCAATAAATGTTGGATGAGTGAACAGATGGGGGAAAAACCATTGCAGTTTCCACATTCATATCAAATATTTGAATTGTAGGGCTTTATTGTTGGAAATGATAATCCACCTAATCAAATTTCTTTCTCCTAGAAGAAATTATTTTCCCAACTATTTATTTTTAAGAGTGATTGCAACCATGTTCTGAATGTTTTCTGTGTGCCAAGCACTGTTCTAAGTACCTTGCAAGAATCATTTCAGGCAGTTCCTCTGTAGCACCAGTGTTGTAAAGGAACCTTCTAGAACAGAATTCATATTTTAAACAGCTTTCTGTCTGACTTCCTATTTCATAGGAACCATATGAAGAGTGGGTCTGTGTTTATTGTGCCTTCCTGCAGCTGTCCCAGCATTAGATAAGGTGCCATCAGGATGTCCTCTGGGAGCATCTTACAGGCTCACTGCCCAGACCTGCACACCTTGTCACCAGTTCCCATGGAGACCTACTTTGAGAGATGATGCATGTTACCAACGAGCTTCTATTTAATGCTTCAAGACTGAAAGGGGAGGGAGGTAGTCTAGGGATAAAGACGGTGCTGGGTTGTTGGGTTTTTTGTTTTATTTTTTTGTTTGTTTGTGCACAGTCTTCCCTGGAGGCATCATGACCTTCAAACCCTGAATGACAGAGTCTGAGACTCACCCAGCTGCCCTTTCAGCTCCTGCTGACATTGTCCCAGGAAGGTTTATTATTGTAAAGGGTTTCATTCATTTCCCACAATGTTCCCTAGATATCCATTTTAAAGTAACCAAAATGAGATTATCCACAGTTAGAGGAGTCTGGGGTAGCATCAAGCAATGAGGCCCACATCACATAAAATCTCCTTACTGAGCTTGGCTGCCATCTACCCCTTCAGCAACCTGAGGAAAACCACAGGTGCAGAAGAGCTGAGCTTGAGGGCCAATAGTCACTGGTATCTGTAGCACCTGCATTTCATTTTTTCAATATTTTGAAATTAAAACTTATTTCCACCATTTCTCCCTCCCTTTTCTTCCTTCAACATTTCACATGTTCCCCGAAAATACATGACCTCTTTTTCTTTGTTGGTGCATGTATGAGTGTGTGCACACACACACACATAAACACGAGTTGCTCAGTCCATTAAGTGTTACTTGTGCAATTGTGATTTCAGGGATGACCGTTTGATATTGGAAAACAATCAGGGGACTCACCCCTGGAGAAGACTACTACCCCTGCTCTCAGCTTTTCTTAATTGCCTGCACATCTTTGTTTTTGGGTGGAGCCCCATGAGATTCCCTTTTGTGTTAGCAAGTAGCCAGCAGTTAGTGCTTTGGGTTTTGCCTGTCCTTTTAAATGCAATACAGTCTGGGCGAAGGAACCCTAGATTTTTTTCATGATTACCTTCATACCTAAAGGCCCTCGGAAATCTTCAGATGATGGGAGATGCTGCCTGAGAAATCTGGAAACTGGAGTTTGCAAGTCCTGACCCTGATGCCTGCTCTCCCCATCCCACTAGATCTGAGGACCAGTGCAGCATCCATCACTTGGGAAACTAGCGAGAGGGGTTAGTGTGTGTGTGTGTGTGTGTGTGTGTGTGTGTGTGTGTGTGTGTGTGTGTGTGTGTGTGTGTGGTCAGAATTTCTCTTTACAACCCAGGCTGTCCTGCTGCTCACTATATAGCCCAGGCTGGCCTTAAAAACTGGGCTCCTCCTGCCTCTGTCTTCTGGAGTACTAGGAGTAAGGTATTTTCCTCTAAGGTTTGTTTGTTTGTTTGTTTGTTTGTTTTAAATATCAAAGATTACAAGGTCCTAAAGATCTAGTCACTCGCATAGTTTTGTGTAACCATAGGGCTTGTACAAGACCCCAGAAAGTAGCAAACCATGCTAAGCCTTTATATCAAAAATCACTTGGAATCTTTCTGGCTTACACAGCTGTAGCCTGCTCTTCTTCCCTTGTTTCCTACGGAGACTTTTCAGTCACTTTAGGAAGCAAGCGTGGGTCATCACAAGGTCAAAAGTGGCATGCCACAGCTCTAGGAAAAGTTGAAAACTCATTGCCCTGACCTCAATGGCCTCTTGCTTGGGGCCAAGCCTAATGCAAGCATTGTATCTGCTGTTGGAACAGCATGTTCTTCCGCGGTGTCTCTAGCCAGCTTGCAAGCTGTTGCCCATTGAGCCAAAATGAGATCTCCTTGGCAAGAGAACAGAAACAATTCCTTCTGAGGTGTTCTGCCTGAGGCACCTCATATCCATCCCAGGGTTCTAGACCCCTCCACTTCCCTGCAGCAGGAACTGGTCCTCTCGAAGAGTGAAGTTTTCTGTTGGCATAGCTGAAAGCACAGCCTCTTCTCCTAGACTACTCCTGCCCTAGCAACAGCCTCCTTAGACCCCACCCTTGGACCCTATACAGCACAGCTAATTGTTTGCACTGGACACTAGTGTGTTTAGAGCTTGGGCATCCAAATAGACAATTAGTTTTTGCTATTTGCTAGCGGCGCTGCCTGCCTGGTGACTTTGGCAGATGGAGAGAAGAGCTAATCCGTAGGTTACGAGCAGAAGGGTTATTGATGAAATGTCACCATCTGTTGGTGTCGTTAAAATGATATGAGTCATAAAGAGTTGCTTTTGTCTTTTCTCAAAAAAGGGTACCTTGGAGTTTAGAGAGAAGTCGCTAAATTGCAGATGGTGGTAGGAGACAGAGTGGGGGAGGGGAGGCTACTCAGGCAGAAAGAGGAGCTTGGCGAATTCATCTGATGGGCTTACTGGTCTTCAGGGAAGCCAGTCCTACTGGATTAAACCCCCTACTTGGTGTGAGACTGGTACTGGTGCTGATTGCTTGGATACCTACCAGGCGTGGAAGGAAAAGTCATTCATTTGGTTATATGAGTAAGACCTCATTGGAAGAAAGAATACTATGTCCCAACCTTCTTAGTCTTCATTGCCCCATGATGCACAGATTATCATTCTTGTATTCAGATGGCACCCTAGGTGTGTGAGCTCTCAGGGGATGGTTTTCACTGTGGGCTACCTCTCCTCCAAGGATGATGTGACTAGGATCAGGGACAGAGCCCCCAGGAAAGAATAAAGATAACGGTGTATAGAACAGCTTCTATGGCACATTAGCAAAGGGGTTTGAGTGGGGTGATATGTGCGCTTGATGAGGGCTCAGTGTAACCAAAATACATGGCCAACTTCTTTACCTATTCCCCATAATTCTCTTGCATTTCTACTTTGAGGATTCTTACCCACTGCCACAAACATTATTTCCAGTCTTTTTCAATCCCTTAGATTTTTATTGATTTTTTTTGCTTTGTTTTGTTTTGTATTCTGGAGAATGTTGAAGGGTAGATGATTTTGTAAACCATTACAGACCTTTCGTCCATCCCTATTGAGTTACAGTAAAAAAAAAAAAAAACAACTAACAGTAGTATTACTGTGAATCTATATGTGCCCAGCTGCGACCTCTAGTTCAATATTTCCTCCCTTAAGACCTGTAGCCCACAGCCTACAATCCCATGGCCAGAGAGTCTGGGAAACAGAAACTTCATTCAGTGGCTGATGGAAGAAGAGGCACACTCCCTCGGTTAAGTACTGAGCTGAACTCAAGAAAGCCAGTAACAGAGATGGAGGACTGACCACCAAAGGGATTAAGACTGGGCTGGTTTAACCCCCAGAAACAGCTGACCTGACAAAGGTTAACTCTTGAATCCCAGGCATTAGCCTGGGAAGCCAGCATGGGACTGATCAAGACCCCCTGAATCTGGGTGTCAATGAGGAGGCCTAGGTAATCTATTGAGCCTTGGGCAGCAGATCAGTACCCATCCTGAGTATACACACGGACTTTGGACTCCCATCCAACAATGTGAGGTGCACTCTCACCCTGAACTCTTGGGGAAGGGTCTAGGCCCTGCCCTATATGAAATGACAGACTATGGACACCCCCATGGAGGGCCTCACCCTCCCTGGGGGAATGAGGGGATAACAGGGGGGGGGGTTGGGGGGAGGGCACGGGAGGAGGGGAGGGAAAGGGAGAGGGACCTGGAACTGACTTGTGAAGCAACCTTGTTTCTTATCTAAATTTAAACCGAAAAATAAATTTAAAAAAAAAACCTGTAGCCCAAACCTTTCCCACCTGCCCCTGCTTAGGGACACAGTCATTGGAGAGTTGTTGCTGCTACTTAGAGGTGTCCATGGGAGTGATGCTGCAAGCCTGTATCTGTGGTATCTAAAGGAAACGACACAGCCAAGGCGCCTGTTGATATTTTTAGATTTGGCCTCTGTGCTGATGTTACTGCTTCATTTCTAAACAAGCAGGGTGGGCAGTGATGGGTGGTGTCAGCAGTGCTATGGGGGTGACTCTACGCCCCATCTCATGGACCAATGCGTATCCTGCTGGGAACTTCCACAGTTTGTCTCATCTTCCTCTGGGGCTTGAGAGCTGCTGACTGCAACAGAGGCCACCAAAATGCAGGCAGTGGGCTGCCAGATGAGAGGCCTCTGAGATGCCTGGCAGGGTGGGTGCTATACTAGCCTTTGGCCCTGCTCCTCTGAGCCCTGAGGTGTGTGCTTGTGTACTGTGCCTTTAGTGAAAAATGAAATGGTTTAGATTTCACCCAGTTGATTAAGCAAGTTAGGAAACAGCCATGCAAACATTTCGGAGTTTATTCCTGGGTGAGTAGAGCTAGGACATCCCTGGATTATCACTAAACTGTTTCTGTAGTGAGCTTTGTGCCTGGTGAATAGTAGTTGCAGGGAAGGAGAGGAGAGAGTGGGGGAGGAAAAGAGGAAGAGAGGGGTTTTAATTTTTTCCCCTGTGTTCTTCCTCCCAAGGAGTCAAGGAGTTCAAATCACTTAACACAGCCCTAGGGAAAAGGAGATGAGATCACAGATCAACATGTCAGTAGATATTGTTAATCATAAAATGTTCATGAAGGAAGATTTCTAAAAGGATAAGATGAATTATATCAAAGTACATTATGTGTATTATGGAAATATAATGAAACTCGTCACTCTGTACAGTTGACTAAAAAGCACAGTTGGATCAAAAAGAAATGTCATGAGTAGTAACTACAGTCAGTGTTAAATAATCAGTTGATAAACACGAGAAGCCATAAGATACCCAAAGAATGAAAAGAAAGTTCTACAATTCTCTGGTGGGGTGGTGAACTGTTTGTTCTAGAAAAAGAATGTGGTGAAAGCAGCTGGGGTGGCTTGGGAAAACCCCAGTGAGGCCCAGGATGGCCCCCACTTGCTCTGCAGCCTTGCTGTCTGTGAACCTGTCCTCTCGTTCTGCAGCCAGCCACAGAGACTGCTGAGGAGGAGGATGACCAACCCCTCAGCCTGTCCTGGCCGTCCAGCGCCCGCAAGCAGGTCACGTTCCTGATCGTTCTTCCCATCGTGTTCCCTCTCTGGATCACCTTACCTGATGTCCGCAAACCTGTGAGTGAACCTCTGTTGAAACAGCTCCCTAGTTAAAAAAAAAAAGGAAAAAGAAAAAGTATGGCAGCTACCACTGTCTATTTCTAGTTGTGTTCCGTTAGAAATTGAGGTGACGCCAGTGTGTCTCTTCTCATACGTGCCTGAAACTTTAATCACAATGATTGTGCAGTGATGAGCAATCCTGAACCGCCCAAGAGGTTAGGGGTGTAAAACAACCACCATTTTATTCTGCTGACAAATCCTGTGGGATGGGAATTGAAGTGGGGTGCACTGGGGATGGTTTATCTCTACTCGACCAAGCCTAGGACTCCAGCTGGGAAGACTTCCAACTGAGAACTGCATTCATCTTCTTTGCAGTTCTTTTGGCACCTGGTGCAACCACCACCACCTGGAAGCAATATTTAAGTTTCTCAAGTCAAGTTACAGCTCCAGAGCATCTATCTACGCTTCAGGAATGGCTGGGTTCCTGGAAGCCATAGCAAAGCCGCTGATATGTTTGACCCCGCCCCCTTTGGGTGGCTCACACTGCACTAATAGTTATGCGATGTGTTCATTATCCATTCTGATGGTTTATACTGATGGTCAGCTTGGCAGAATCTAAACTAACCAGAGATTATAGGTTAACTGAAGAGGAAGGGCATGCCCTTAAATGTGGGTGGTACCAACCCATGGGCTGGGATGGACAGACTGAATAAAACAGAAAAGAGCAGCTGAGTGTCCCACTCAATTCCCTGTGCTTCCTGACTGGGCGCAATGGGACCAGCTGCCTGGTACTACTACCCTATGCTCCAACTGTGAGTCAAAAGAAGCCCCTTCCTTCCTTAAGTTGCTTTTGTCTTCTTTTGTTACAACAAGAAAAGTAGCTAATATGCCAATCATCCCCCTGTTTCTATGCTGTTTGGCCCAGTGTTTACTTTTACCCCACAAGGGAACATCTGAAAACCAAATCTTGTTTTCTGAATCTCTACAGAAGGGATGTGATATGGTCCAGAGTGGCAGAGCTGACTGGCTAACGGGAGCTTATTGTTGCTTTGCCCCATGCTCTTGGGCAGAACATCATGGGAGCAGAAGTATGGGGCTAGGCTGCTCTCCACGTCTAGTGGGCAGGAGGCAAAGAGGAAACGCTGGTGCTCCAAAGGCCTCCTTCCCCCTCTTATTCCATCTGTATCCATGGTAGATCTGCCCACTTCAATTAACCCTCTCGGTAGACACCTTCACAGACATATCCAGGGGTGTGCCTGCAAATCCTCTAGGTGATTCTAAGTCCATCCAAATTCACAATGAGTATTAACTACCACACCTCACAACTAGATCATGACAAGTCTGACTGTGTGTGGCACTATTCTCAGTGACACCATTGACTCATTCTTCACCCCGCAGCCTACCCTTGAGGGCCAGGCCCTAACACCTGGGCCAGCGGAGCTTTCTCTGTTAGTCACATTTCTAATTGCTGTGACAAGATACCTGAACGGAAGTAGTTTGAGGGAAGAAAGATTGATTTTTGGCTCATGGTTTTAAAAAGAGAGATTCCATCAGAACTGGGAAGGCATGACTGATTGGCATAAGGCAGCTGGTCACATGACATCCAAAGTCAGGAGCAGATTGAGGTGAATACTGGTGCCACACTCATTTTCTTCTGTCGACCCAGTTTGGGGTCCCAGCCCATTGGATTCTGTCACCCACAGTCAGGATGAGTCTCCCCTCCTCAGTTACACCTCTTTGGAAGTCCCCTCAAACACAAACCCAGAGGTAACACTCCTGTGTGATTCCAAATCCATCAAGACAGTGGATATTAGCCATCAGCTTCCTTGCTTCCCTAAGCACCAGTTATAATATGAAATGTATTATTTTCTATCTTTTTGAATGGGTTTTCTGTATACTATTCTAAGCAATGAGACTACCAAGGGAATATTTGGCTATCTTTAGTTTTCTTCAGCAAATATTCAGCACTAAGGACAACATGGGCCCTTAAACTGTTTAATAACACAAAATTCATAGTCTCTATCTTTAAGTTTAATACCTAAACAAGGCATACTTACTGTGCTGCATAGTTTATGTCAGCCTGACACAAGCTAAAGAAAGTCCTCTGAGAGGAGGGAACCTTGGCTAAGAAAATGCTTTCCCTTAGATGGGGCTGTAGGCAAACCTGAAGGGCATTTAGTGATTGGTGGGGGAAGGTCCAGTCCATAGTGGATGGTGCCACCCCTGGGCTGGTAGTCCTGGGTTCTATAAGAAAGCAGGCTGAGCAAGCTGTGAGGAATAAGCCAATAAATAGCACCCCTCCATGGCCTCTGCATCACTGCATCAGCCCCCCCCCCGTCCTGACTTCCTTTGATGATGAGCAGCGATGGAAGTGTGAGCTGAATTAACCCTTTCCTCCCCAAGTTGCTTTTGGTCATGGTGTTTCGTCACAGCAATAGTAACCCTGACCAAGACACTTACCTATAACTGAAAGCAAGACTTCACAGAAGCAGCTAAGGGAGACTAGCCTGAGGCTCCTGATTCCAGATCATTTTCATTCCACTACCCCTGACTCTGGTAGTTTTCTCTCCCTGTCCTACCTAGTAAGCTGAGAAACTTTGGGAAATACACTTCTCTGAACTCCATTTTTATCCACTGTTGATAAAGATTTCTAAGATCTCTAGATCCCTTACCAGCCATGGCATTCTGTGATTGAGGAGCAGTATAAATAAAGAGACCCTCCTCAATGCGATATTGCAAGTCAAAGGTGACTGCATACCCCAGCTTGTCTATGCTAGTCTCAGTTTACTCTGAGAGCATACTGGTTGAAAGATAAACTTGTGGCCCTCTCTGCACATACAAGAGGCCAAAGGAAATAAACCATGCCAATAGGTACAGGAGCCATTAAGATATTTCCTGATCATATCTATTCGAGGAGAGTTTTATTAGATTGTTTCTTATGTCAGTTTTCCTTTTGCTCTGTAACACACCATCTCAAACTCAACTTAAGACAAGCTAATTTCATCCCAGGATTCTGAGGATTGGCACTTTGTGCTAGATTCAGCCCGACAGTTCTCCTGGGAGCAGGTTGTCATAGAGCATCTCAGCTGAAACAGTCTCTGTGTGTGCAACATGGTCTCTTATCTTTAAGCAGTCTAATCCGAACTTAGTCACGGGATAGCAAAAGACCAAGAGCTACAAGAATGAAAACTACAAAATGCTCTTGAGATCTAGTTTGGAATTTGTACTCCATCATGGCCAGTGCATTCTATTGATTGAAGTCAGTCATAAAGCCAGCCAACACCTGAGGGTGGAGAAATGGAGCTCACCTATGGATGGAAGAGGCAGAGTAATGTACTGTGTTTTAAGTCCTGTCTGCAAAGGCCACTGGAGGTACTATCAAGGGAGAGGGAAAAGAATAGGAAAATTGGCAAACAGACATTTGCTCCTCCTTAGGGCACACCAGCTGTCTCTACAGTAGTTTTTAAAATTCGTTACGGAGATGAACATCCCAAACCTTACCAGTAATTACAAGGAATGCATGATTGTATAGTTCTAATTTCAGAATAAATATTACTCCCACTTGTTTTTATTCCTTCCTACCTCATTTCTATGCAAATTTTATGGTGATGTTTATTGGATCACACATACTTCCAGCTCAGATATTAAATAGGAGCTTCACACTTATAGTTTTCTTAAATTAACAACTTTATTTGAAAACAGAAAGGGCTAAGGTGTAAGTAAATCTTGATGCAAAACATACCTTTGATGAAAACTGAAAATAAGAAACAGTAAGACACTCAGTGTTATTTTCTCTCGTGGCCTAACATGGATGTTCATACAAAGGAGGAGTGTCTCTCTTGAGATAGGAAAATATGATCCATTAGAACTGGGAAGGAACCAGAACACCCAGCTAATATTTTGCAGTTTTGATCATTTATTCATTCACAAAGTTTCTATTGATTTTCTAGCAGGAGCCACTCGTGATGTAGCAAGAATAAAGTGGCTGAGACCCAGGAAGGTTTAGTGGTTTGTTCACTCACAGCTAGCTACTAAGAGGAAAGCCAAGCCTCCTCCATACCAAACATCCACAATCACTTTGCCTCCCCAGGTATCAGCCTGGCCATCTCTTAAAAACTGCAATGAGGACAACAATGCACAGTGACAACAGTGACTGCTACCAGAGCACTTGTTATAGCTTGGGTGCTTTGCTAGACTTTCTGTGTACAGGACTCTTCAGAGCATTTAGATTTGTATTGCCCCTCCTCTCCGTTTTACAGATAAAGAAACCAACACTCAAAGAGGTTAAATAGTGAAAATCACTGATCACTTGGGGGCTGAGATTTCAACCCCCATTATCGTAACCCAGTGGCCATACTTTGAGTCTTATTAGGGTTGTTGTGGAAAACTCCTTAAAGTGTGAATACTTCAAGGGACGGAAAGATAGCTCAGCAGGTAAAGGCAATTGCTAACAAGACTTACAATCTAAATTTGATTCCCAGGACCCACATAGTGGAAGGAGATAACAGACTCCCACAAGTTCTTTTCAGACCTTCATATGTGTATGCATAAACATGCACCTACCCATGTGTGTGTGTGTGCACACACACACAATGAATGAGTGAATGAACAGATAGCTAAATACATAAGTATAAAATACTTCAAACCAGCTTTAATGGTAAGTTCCTGTGATCACAGCTACATAGAAGACCAAGGCAGGAGAAGTATAAATTTGAAACCAGCCTGGGATACATAACAAGACTCCCATCCCTTCCACCAAAAGTGTATTCTTCAGACCATTTCACAAAGTAGATGCTCAATGACTATTAAATTTAGAACAGCAAGGACATAGCCAGTTTGCTCAGCCAGCTATTGTTCAGTGACGTTTTTCCAAGCCAGTATCATGCTGCTCTACTAAAAGCTTCTAATGGGAACATTATCTGCCAATTAGCTACCTAACCATTACATTAGAAACAAAATGGACAGCACATGGTCACAATTTGCTCATTTGCTGATTGGTATGAGGCCCGATCCTACCAGATGTCAGGATGAGCCACCATTACTGACCATCACCTGATGTGTTAGACCTTGACTTCCAGGGTTGTTTTCTCTCTTCCAATGAGGACTGATAACCTAATACCTGTACAGATGCTCCCGGGCAGTGGTGTCCAGAATGAAACCATGGAGTCCAAATGAGGAGAATGGTCTAGAGAGAAATGAGAGAAGTGATTTCCTGGGTTGTGAGACTAGGCATGGTAAGGCAGTGTGACAGAGAAACAATTAGCCAAACTGCTGGTGCATGAAGGGTTGCAACTTCCAAAGCAAGAATAATAAGGGAGGCTGGGGAGGCAGATGGCCATACAGCTGAAGCACTGGCCTCTGTTTCCTGATGCTTTTTTTATTTTCTGACCTTGTGAATAGAGCCTGGCATGGTGGTGGTGGTGCTCACTCTGCCTGTGGCCAGATGTATTCTGACCATTTTGGACCCTGTTTTCTTCCAGGAAGCATTGGTAAAATATACGTGTTAGGCACAAGTGCTGTATAGTCAGCAGACCTGAATTTTATCTCTAGTTGAAGAGTAGGATATAGAGTAGACATCCAGTCTTTACCTGTTCCTTGTAGATGATGAACTGCTTGAAATTCACTAAGAATATTTGTTTTTAGTGTCTTTTTTTTTCAGTTTAAATTTAGATAAGAAACAAGGTTGCTTCACAAGTCAGTTCCAGGTCCCTCTCCATTTCCCTCCCCTCCTCCCGTGCCCTCCCCCTAACCCCCCCCCATTATCCCCTCATTCCCCCAGGGAGGGTGAGGCCCTCCATGGGGGTGTCCATAGTCTGTCATTTCATATAGGGCAGGGCCTAGACCCTTCCCCAAGAGTTCAGGGTGAGAATACACCTCACATTGTTGGATGGGAGTCCAAAGTCCGTGTGTATACTCAGGATGGGTACTGATCTGCTGCCCAAGGCTCAATAGATTACCTAGGCCTCCTCACTGACACTCACATTCAGGGGGTCTTGATCAGTCCCATGCTGGATTCCCAGGCTGATGCCTGGGATTCAAGAGTTAACCTTTGTCAGGTCAGCTGTTTCTGGGGGTTAAACCAGCCCAGGCTTAATCCCTTTGGTCATTAGTCCTCCATCTCTGTTACTGGCTTTCTTGAGTTCAGCTCAGTACTTAACCGAGGGAGTCTGCCTCTTCTTCGATCAGCCACTGAATGAAGTTTCTGTTTCCCAGACTCTGGCCATGGGATTGTAGGCTGGCACTCCCCAGATCTATGTCTAAAATCCATATATGAGAGAGTACATGCCATGTTTCTCTTCTTGTGACTGGGTTACCTCACTCAGGATAGTTTCTTCTAGTGTCATCCATTTGCCTGCGAATCTCAGGATTCCATTGTTTTTTTTCTGCTGAATAGTACTCCATTGTGTAAATGTACCACATTTTCTCTATCCACTCTTCGGTTGAGGGACATCTAGGTTGCTTCCTTTTAGTGTCTTTTGAATAAGCTCTAATTCAACATTTGACTTTTTGATGCCTATTAATTATTAATTGGTATCTTCAGAATCATAAGTATCAAATATTGAATTGGACAGGTTTTCACTAATGGAGAGATTTGCATTTGGTTCTTTACATCCTTAGTCTCACCCCTTTGTCCATTTGGCTGAGAATGTTCTATAGTTCAGTGATATAAGGAAATCTTAATATTTCAATTTTGACTGATGATGTCTTCTCAATGAACAGACATGCAAGGGGAAATTTAAAAATATATTAAATGAAAAACAAACAGTAAGAATATATTTAGTAAGCAAATGAACCTGGAAGTAGAACAGCCTTCGAAGACTCTCCAGGACACGAGATGTGGATGTTCCACCATAAAGTAGACAGCAGCTCTCTGTGCTTCTCATGCCACACTGAGAACCCGAGTCTAGTTGATGCTGGAGTCCAGGGTTGCCTTGTGTGGCAGGAGTTGCCCCTCTCTTCCTGTGACAGAGCATGACCCTGGGAGACTGAAACCTGCATCCCACTAGAATCCTGAGACAGTGGCTCACAATCAGAAGGAAAAGGCTGGGAGGTCCAGCCAGTTCAGCCCCTGCCTGGGCAAGTCTGGTGTCTTCTCCAGCTGGGGGAATCTTAGCTCAAGAACCCAATCCCCAGCCTTCAAGAAATCTGCTTTGAGAAGTGGAGGTATAGACTCCACTCTGAAAAAAAAACAAAAGTGTTTTCCCCATCACTCACTGAAGTGTTCAGGTCTCCAGGGCAGACCAGAGTCCTTATGCAAAATACTTTTCTTCTAAGAAAGAGAAGGAGCAGGCCACTCTCTCGATCATCACGTCAAATGCACAGTTGTGTGGAACCTGGGACTAAACCACTCATAGACAACCTGCTTCTGGGTGGGAGTTTCATATGTAGCAAACCAGCTCCCTCGATGCAATCTTATTGAAAGTCAGCCCTTGACACAGGGTTTTTAAAAAAGAAGGAAGGAAGGAAGGAAAGAAAGAAACAAAGGAAGGAAGAAAGAGAGAGAGAAAGAAAGAAAAAGAAGGAGCATAGGGAAGTAATTAAAGGTGAGATGTGGCCTGCTCACTGTGACACGATGCCCTCTCCCAATTGACCTTTTTGGTCTTACAGTCACCCCAGAGAATGCCTCCCCTCGAAGCAACCATCATTTCATGGGAGAAAAGATTCTTGTAGAACCTGAGGGATGAGTGAATGATAACAAAAAGACTTACTCAAAGCCTGGAATTTACAAGGAGATTGCAAACCTAGTCTGGAACCATAGAGCATGTCTTCATTGTGCTTCAGATTTAAAAGATTACCACACACGAGTTTATTTTTTTTCTTCCAATGAGTCTTCAAATGCCATGGCTGAATGGACTCTCTGTGACTGCCCCAGACCAGCTCTTCAGACAGCTGCGACACCACTATCCACATCAACTCCTAGAGTTGGTGTTCTAAGGGAACTTTGAGTGTGCTCACACTGTCCAAGCCCAATATGCCATGAAGTCCAGTGCTGTAAGCAGAATGGGACTTGTAATATAGATAGGAGTGGCACACTGGAGGGAACACATTCCCAAGAATGTCTGACCTGCCCTTCCCTAGTAGGGATCACCCTTATTGGACATCTCCACCTCTGTCTACTCCAGCTGATGGGTATGGTTAGTGTCCTAGAGACTAACCATCACCAGCCATCTGTGGTGGTGGCTTTCCTGGTAATTCATGGGACTCTAAGATGAATTAATCCATTCCCAACCTTCCTAATCCTTCCAGTCTTTTGTTTCATGTAATCAATCACATAAGAGTTTTGACATGTAGGTTATCATAGCACATGGTTTGCCAGTAGTGGATTCTGATGTCCTGATTCTGGTGAACTTGGAAGCAAACTAAAGAATAGGGAAAAGATAACAGAAGGAATGACAGAGGAATCCAGATCTTATGAAGGGTGGAAACTAGGGCATTGGACATCTAGCTACAGACATAAACAGACCCTCTCTCAAGACGTGACTTCCGGATCCCAACACAGTGGCACTTGTCACAACAACTGGGAGGCTGGAGCAGAAAGATGGGATTTGAAGACAACCTGAGCTACATAATGAGTTCTGGGCCATCTAGGCTATCCTGGGCTATAAGACCCTGTCTCAAAGAGAGAAGTGGGGAAAGGGGGAAGGAAGAGGGATGGAGGAAGTGAGAGAAAGGTGGATTCCTTTCCCAGTTCTACAACCATTCAGCTCCCACCAATTTCAATTTCCAAGAATGAATTTTCCTCTCCCGGTTAGATTAGGGGTAATCCAGAAATGTGAGAGAAGTCAGGGCAATGGCAAAGGTGGCTTTAACCTTGGGCTGTCACTCCACCACAGGGGCACTACTGACTCTCTTCCCTCTGGTTGTCTTCCAGGCTTCCCGCAAGTTCTTCCCTATCACGTTCTTTGGCTCCATCACCTGGATTGCAGCTTTCTCTTACCTGATGGTGTGGTGGGCACACCAGGTAAGACTGCCAGCGCCGCCCGTCCTCCTGGTTTTTCTCTAGCCTTGGTTGTCGAGTGGTCAATCAATGGGTTTGCCTTTTGAAACTATCATATACTGAGTGTGGTATAGCCTGGATTTTCCTATTCCCCCATCTTGGTGGTCAGAAATCAAATCAGCAGGTCCTGTTCTCAAAGATGAGAGTGGAAACCATTATTTGTTGAGTGCTATGAGGTAGAAACGATCATTATCTACAACATGGAGATAAAGAAAATGAGTTTACAGCTGATAAGAAAAATGGCAAAGCATGCAGGCTTAGTGGCATATGTGTGGAATCCTAGCACTTGGGAGGTAGAAGCAAGAGAATCAGGAACTCAAAGCTAGCTTCTTCAGAGACTTGGAAAGTATCCTAGGCTGTAGAAGACTAACCCATGTTCAAAACCACATAGCCATGCTTCTCTTCAATTTTGGACTTGTCTGTCAGGAGTGGCATTCAAACTCCAAATGTCAATGGTGTAGTTTTAAATGGTCACTGTGATAGCATTCCCTCTAAGAATTTCAATTATTAAGAATATATTAAATCAATTGCAGCTTACTTAGGGTGAAAATCATTTAGTCAGCACGAAAGAGACCATTTTGCTCAAACAAGACACTCCTGTTGCCCAAGGAAGTCACCAGTGTGAGTGGATCCACTCATTTGTGCAGCAAGTAGGCGCTTAGAGCCTACAGTAGGGGGCTTTTTAACCTGTTTCCTCTCATGACTCTTCTTGCCTAAAGAATTTTTTACACAACCCCAAAGGTATGTCCTATAAGACAAATACACAAGTCAAACATTTGCTCATGATAAATCGTAAATTTATCTTAGAACAATTCTTTGGTGTCTGTATAACTTAACCATTTTTAAAGATGAAAGCCCATTTGCATACTACTCAGAGGGACTTGCTTGTTTGTTGTTGCATGAAGAATTAAATCTTAGAAGTGTATGTGATGCTGCAGGACAGAGCACATCCTCAGTGTCTTCCAGAGTTGATCATTATTTTTAGAATTGCCTGAGAGCACTGCATATTGCAAATACACAGTACAGTATGGCACAGGTATGTTTAGGACTACTTCAGAAACGGTTAGAAACCCAGCCCTAATCCCAAAATAGATAGAATTTATTTAATCTTTTTCCATTTATTTTATATATTTTGGCATACACATGCCACAGCATACACGTGGGTGTCAGAGGACAACTTCCATAGTCATTTCTCTCTTTCCAGTAGGGAGGCCCACCCCCTCACATAACTATTTTTTAAGAAGGTCAAATCAGCAATTCAAGCAGAAATTTTTTAAGCAGAAATTTCTATAACCTAATATTCTAACATGATATAATCCACATTATGGATGCTGCTTGCATGTAGATTTCTTCTCTTTCATTTCCTAAGTTTTTATTACATTTACTAGTATGTATGGGATGGAGAGATGACAGCCTCTCTTCTTCCACCATGGAGTCCTGGGGATAGAACTCAGATCACAGCCTTGGTGGCCAGTATCTTTGCCTACCATGGGACTTCTAGTTGGGGGCAGGCAGTGAATCTGTGTGCCTGGAAGACTGAGTTGGCTCAATAAACTTGGGAGCCAACTGTCAAGATAAAAACCTCCTTTTAAGTTACCAGGAACCATGATATTATATACTTATAAATCAAAAAAAGAAATTTAGAAATGAGTATTCTATTCCCTAAAATCCTTTATTCCTGTGTGTAATTTTACCCATTAATTTATTCAGAAAAACTCTGGATGTCATAAAGTAGACTATTGGAAAACACTGTCTAAAATTTTTGAGAACAGTAATTTACCAACTCCAGAAAATGTATAAGGTTTTTAAAAATCCCCACAAAATAAGGTGCTCAAGAAACAAAGGAAATGTGTGTGGCAGATTACAGTCACTATCATAGAAACAGGAGTCAGAAACACCAAAGCAAGAGAATCCCAAGTTCAAAGCTAGCCTAAGCTGCATAGTGAGATGCTATCTCAAAGAAACCATGGTTGGATGTGTGGCTTAGTGGTAAAGTGCTCGCCTAACATGTACAATGCCCTGAGTTTGGTCCCCAGGATGGACGGATGGATGGATGGATGGATGGATGGATGGATGGATGGATGGATGGATGGATGGATCTTCTACCTGAGGCTAGACCAACTGTCCAAAGCAAAGCCCGTAATGAAGTAGAATACTGCACCTCTCATTTTCTAATAATGATGTAGTACTTACAAGAGCTTTCCTGAAAACTATTATTTATCCCACAACCTTCTTGTAAACTATTATTATCCCTATTTGATGGCTAAGAAAACAAGAATCAAGACACTGTATAGAGAACAATTATCAATTGGTCAAGTCCTTAAGGCAGCCCTGGGACCAAGGCCCTCTGATTTCCTTGCTGTTAGTTCTATATAGCTGTTTAGTTGATTTAGTTTTATATTTCTAAGCCTGAGTTCACCCAATGCCAGGTTCCTTGTGAAAACATTAGAGGCTATAAGTGTTTAAATGTGATAGAAATAATTGGAGATATTAAGAAAAAAATGGCACACTATCTTAACACTCAACAGTAGATTGAAGAGCCTTGGGAATTGATAGCACTGTCAGGTGCTAGCCTTAGGTTCAAAGCCCAAGCTTTTCAAATGAATTTTGCAGCTTCTCTGACACTCTTAGAAGACATGGTGTGGTGGCTGCAGTCAGGGTCCCTCCAGCTCTTTACTACTTGAAATAGTCTGTTTAACCATCATGTGCACGTCAATGACTCCCTGGGATGGGTTATTAAAGCCCACAAACTCCTCTATCAGTGACTGTGGCTTGTTCTTTTTTATTATATCAGAGAGGGGACTCATTAGAAAGAGGTCACCTAGTGATGTTGGGTCCTGTGGCTTCCACCCCTCAAATGTTTCCTTGCTGTGGTACTCAGGTTGGAGAAACAATCGGCATTAGTGAAGAGATCATGGGTCTGACCATCTTGGCTGCTGGTACCTCTATCCCTGATCTTATCACCAGTGTCATAGTGGCAAGAAAAGGACTGGGGGACATGGCTGTGTCCAGCTCTGTTGGAAGCAACATCTTTGACATCACTGTGGGGTAAGTATGGTGTTCTATAAGCATGTGCACCAGCTCTAACTCTGTCTTTATCTTCCTAGAAACTGTAGAAACATGAGCTGGTTCTCTGAACTCAAAACTTGCCCAAGTGCCAACCAAAATTTACTCCTGGGAGCACCATTCCATTTTACCAGCTGTTTTTTTTTTGTTGTTGTTGTTGTTGTTTTTAGGGACTTAATAAAATGAAGTCATCCCTAAGCCAACAGAAACTCATACTTACAGACAGAATGTTCTAGAAAGTGATAATTTCACTTACATAACTGCACTCACCATGAGTTAGGAATATGCACTGCCTGGGTAGGACTGGAGTATTCTGGCAATTTCACAGTGTTTTTTTCTACTCTCTAATTACCCTCCTGGCCATATAAGATTGGATTCAAAGGCAGCTTGGGACACATCCAGACTCAGCAATGACATCCTGTCTCCTTGCTTGGAAAATGCTGGCAACCCAGGTTTTGTGAAATGCAAGAGATCTTTTTCCCTGGGCTGAACAAACTGGAGTCCTCAGTAGGAATAATCTGTAATGAGCCAGATTGACAGGGACTCTTACCAAGTCCCCCAACCAACCCACCCCCTCCCACTCCCCAAGGACAGTGAGGCCTTCCATAGGGGATCATCAAAGTCTGTCATATCATTTGGGGGAGGGCTTATGCCCTCCTCCATGTATCTGGGCTGAAATAGTATAACAGGGACTCTTTTCTCTCTCCCATTTCATCTAACTTGTCAAAAGTAGAGGACAAATGACCCTAAATGTCATCGCCTGAGAAACTTAAGTCACAGAGTCTCTATGCCCCCAGGATAATAGGTCTCTTGAACCTGGAATTGGGATGTTCATTAAAATGAACACCACTTTCTCATTGAACATTTTTGAATGTTCAGTCTTGTTTCCTTTTCATTAAGCCATTGTACATATGTTTGCTATTGTTCATACAGTGCTTACAGTTAGCCACTTAAGACACACAATAGTCGTGTGGATCATGTGTTATCAACTTTATGCCTAAATATGGAAACTGGAGGGCAGCAGTAAATATAGCTGGGGTTAGAGCACAGTTCCTGAGGACAAGTACTCTACCAGAGAGTAAAACCTGACTGAGTTTTCACCGTCTGACTGTGCTGTCAATCACCACAGTGCCCTCTCCTGGGCTGTGGGCCTCCACAGTCTGACTGTGCTGTCAATCATCACAGTACCCTCTCCTGGGCTGTGGGCCTCCACCTTCTGACTGTTCTGTCAGTCGCCACAGTGCCCTCTCCTGGGGCCTTTGCTTGCAGGCCCAGCAAGGAACCTCTTCATCTGTGTCCAGGAAACTGACTTCTCTGTCCAGAGTCCGTTCAAATCCAGGAGCCCCTTCTCTTACAGACTGTCTGTATTGTATCTCACTATGATTATTTCCTCCTGCCAGTCTGGGAGCCCTTCAGGCATCCCCTACTGAATTCACCATAGCCTAACCCATTGGCGAATCATGGTAGTGTCTAACAAGAGCTGCCAGAATGGACAGATAAAGGGGTGTGTTTTAACAGAAGTTATTCTGGGATAAACCGTATTTGTCATCCCTCACCTGAGTGGGTAAAGTGTGTGGTGGGGAGGGGGAGTGTGAGGGGGTGAATTTCCTGTAGTGTAAGAGGGAAAAAGTCTATAATTCTAAGTATTCAGATAGACATACTTGCCATGTTTCCAAAGGTACATACTCTGACAGATTACAACATGCTCTTTGTTCCTTGTTACTAAATTATATATAAATAATAACAAAGGAGAGTTTCTCATAATCTTCCCTAGTCCTCCTACCAAAAGCCCTTCATTTTTGTGTCCTGCAAAGATTTGATTAATTTTTTCTTAGAGAATATTTAGTTTTGTTCACTTGGCGGGCACTTATCTTTTCCAACTTAAAGCCTCATGGGCCTGGCATGATATGGCTTCCCCTAGTAAGCTGGCAAGCCTCATGCACTGTTCTGCTCAGTGTTTTTATAACCCTTGAAACTAACACTCTGACTTCCGGTGTTTCATCCTGTTGTGTTCCAGGCTAACCAGTGTCTTTCAGTTGATTTTTTTTTCTTTTGCCTTAGCCGTTATAGGAATTTTGTGAATATCTTTATGTAGAAAATTCTCTTTTAATTATTTTATTAGAATAAACCCCTTAAAGCAGCATTAACAGACTACATATTTTGAATATTTTAGTGGGTATTGATATATTTTATATATTTATTTTCCAAAAAGTCTTTCCCAAATTTTGTTCAGTTTTGTTTTTATTATCAGTATGCTGAGTGTGTTGTTATATAGTGAGTGTAAAGTTTCTTTATTGTCCTGCCAGCATTTTCTTTTGCACGTATAAGTAGTACATAAGGGTTTTAAAAGATAAATATAGAAATCAATGGTCATCTACCACCCATTCAAAATATATACATTTTACATGGTTGAAATTACATTGCTAATTTAATGTGTGCCATTCATTTTTTAAATTCAAATTAATAGCTGGGTGCTGGTGGAGCACGCCCTTAATTCCAGCCCTCGGGAGTCAGAGGCAGGCAGATCTCTGTGAGTTTGAGACCAGCCTGGTCTACAGAGAGAGTTCCAGGACAGCCTCCAAAGCTACAGAGAAACCTTGTCTCAAACAAACCAATATATATATATTGCTCAGATCTCTGCCCCCCAGTCAGTTGTATATGTGCATGTGTGTGACTGAGGGTGAGCTATCTGACCCCATGACAAATATCTAAGCTCTGTCTCCATAAAGGAGAAACAGTTTGTTTCGGCTCGTGGCTTCAGAAGGGCTAGCCTGTGGCCTCTTGTCCGTCTTTCTTTGTACTTTGGGCAGCTGCTGTGTCGTGGTGGGAGTGCATGACAGAGAAGACGTGATCACCTCATTGTGGCTAGGTAGCAAAGAAAACAACAGAAAAGGGCCAGGGTCCCAAAATCGCATTCAAGAGCATGACCCCTGTGACCTAGCTTCTTTCCTTCCTACCTCCTAAAGGTTCCATTACCTTCCAAGAGCCTCAGGCTGGAGACAGAACCTTTAACAGATGGCCTTTAGGGAATGTTCAAGATCCAACTATAGTAGAGAGATAAAGTATTTTGGTTCCCCCCCCCCACCCCCAGCCCAGCAAGATCCACTAAAGTAAGCATCTTCCATCCAGGCTCTAGTGAGCAAAACACCCGTACTGGCCATCACAGGCCAGTCTCTTGAGCTTTGCCCAAGCCAGCAAAGACCCTGGAGGTCTGCATGTTCTAGGCCTGGAAATACAAAAAAAAATAAAGTACATAGTGTGGGCTCCAGTTTCACCCACATTTTCTTTCAGAACCTATTGGCTGTTTTTAAAATCATGCTTATGTCCTCTTAGCTTTTCCATTAGGAAAAGCTACACATGTCAATTCCAGGTCCCTCTCCGTTTCCCTCCTCTCCTCTTGTGCCCTCCCACCCACCCCCCAAGACCCTTTTTAATAAACGATTGTCACCATCTTTCCTAGAATAAACTTCAGACTGCCACATTGTACCTTGGTCCCCACCACCACCATGCAACCTCACTTCATTTTAGGTTCTCGGGAGAGTCTCCATTCTGGAGCTCTGATTGTCTTTTCCCCATCTTCACACTCATTCCTATACTCGTTCTCTGACGCTCTCTCCTCCCTTCACCCATGCAAATTGTGGTTCGTCTTTTCAAGACATCCCCCCTAGGAAGAAAGCAAAAACTAATCCGGGTCAAATTCCAAGGTCACCTGTAGCAGTCGCATCTTTGATGTAGCCCACTGGAGAACAAATGAGTCAGGAAACAGTTCAAGACTCCAAAGGTCCCCCTGACTTCTTTACATAGTTTTCTGAGCCAGTCATTTTGTCCCAGTGACGCTGAAGTATCACCCTCCTCAAGACATAGACTGCCATCTTCTAGTGCCTCCTCACTACGCCTGACTACTCTCTCTCCCCCCTTTCCTGTCTGCTTTTCTTCCTCTCAGGCTGCCGCTGCCCTGGCTCCTCTACACCATCATCCACAGATTCAAGCCAGTGACTGTCAGTAGCAACGGCCTCTTCTGCGCCATTGTCCTCCTCTTCATCATGCTGCTGTTTGTCATTCTCTCCATTGCCCTCTGCAAATGGCGGATGAACAAAATACTGGGTTTCATCATGTTTGGCCTCTACTTCGTGTTCCTGGTGGTCAGCGTCCTCCTGGAAGACAGAGTTCTTGAGTGCCCTGTCTCCATCTAGTGGAAAAGCCATATCTTAAACCAACAGTATGGATGGTCCCTCCTGGCTCTGGGCTCAACACTCCTTGCAGTCTTGAGAAGAGGCAGCCTGTGCGCAGCCTTGGGACGCAAGCATCCCTCCTTGGAGGGTTGGAGGAAGGATGGATTCTCATGGGGTCATTCACTTCCCAGGCACCTCACCCCTGCCTGTTGAAATGATTCCATGAAAGAGACAAAAAGAACCATCTCTCCATCACCACTGATAGGTACTCCTCGCTGGTCGGAGGTACGTTCATTGTGATGACACAGAGGAGGACAGAGGCTATACATGCATATAAATATAAATACTATAAATACATACACATGAGCATACAAATCCTGCCTGTATCTGTACTATACCTCTCCTCCTATACCTATAGATTAATTCATAACTGTACACAAACAGAAAGAAAAATTATATATATAAAAGCATATATATATTTAAGTGCAACTGCATCTTTTCAGGGATAGTTCTAGCATATTTATAGTACCTATTTGAAGAGGGGCATCAACCTTTAACCTTCAGTTTGTGCTCAGGCACAAAAGGTGGATTAACAGAATCAGTAGGCAAAGCGCTCTTTGCTGTGGTCTCCAGCCTGCTTGGATATACTGAGTTTAGTGAAATAGTTTGCAGAGAGGAGAGCTCAGTAGAAGAAGTCTGTAGGAGCCCCACTTAGAACTTCTAAAATACTCTCACAAGCCAAACAGAACCCATCTGCTCATCCCCACTGAGATGCTCTGACTGAGACCCCTGGGATTCCTTAGGACAGAGGTAAAACTCAGACTGGGTGGAAACAAAGGGGGACTGATGAAGGTTAGGTTGTTTTGTTTTGCTTTTTCTTGTATTGCCCCCGCATGCAAGTAGATGATATGAATGAAATACCAAATTAGTGCTTTCCTAAGACAGCAAAATTATATAAACTGAGTCCATCTTGTTCCAATGCATGGCCCATTATCATCAAAAGAACAAGGGCAATCTTAGCCATGATTGTCATGTGACATGCTTTCATGCCAAGGGCTCATACACAGTCCAAAGTCCTGCCAAGAGAGCTGAGACGTGTCCTGAGAAACCCCGTCCAGCAGAGGTGCTCAGTGGGAGTTGCCACTGATGGGAAAATAAAGGGCACAGCTCCTTGGAGCGTTTCTCGGTGTGATCACAAAGGGCTGCAGTGTCTAAAAATCATTCCCAGTAGAGCTAAACTAACGGCTGACCGTACTTAATTGAAACAGTTCAGGTTTGTGTGAAGACACATTTGCCTATTTTGTGTGTCCCCCAGAACAGTTTCCAAGTCCTGTATATGTCATGAATTTGGTGTTTACCCATGCAGCATCTGTGTCCCTCTCCGCATCATAACCCCATCTGGAACTCTAGTGTTCCAAGTGTACTGGAGACTGTATTCCATGGTTTCTTTACACTGCCTTGAAGCAGTTGCTCTCAAATTACAGTTTGCTGAGTTTGCTCATCTTCATATGGGATCATCTCATTCACTGAGTGCTCCCAAGCTCATCTGACATCTTGTGTGATTTCTCCAGTTTATTTCAGTAGAAAATGAGACGGGTTGGCAGCAGCAGGACAAATTAAACTGAAAAAAAAAAACATGCAGAGTTTTACATTTCACTAAACCATGCTTTCTCCTTAAAAATCCATTGAAAAGGTGAATGGAGAGTGGCCACATGTAAATCAGCACCCGTCATACATGCAGAATGTCACCATGCATTCAAGTTCTGTCATTGTGCCTTGTCTGGCTGTGTTGTGAATACCACTTAACACAGGGAGGCAGGAGGCAGAACACCAGGCAGCCAGTGCACCAGATCACGTTTAGCAATCCATCCACAAAACCTCCATTCATTTACAGAGCATGGCAACAGCAGGCAGAGCCAAAACCACTGTACTCATAAACAAAAGATACTTCAAAGCAGAGGCCCCCTGAGTACACAAGAAATCAGAAGGTCTGCCAACTAAGAAATTGGCTTTCAAGTCTATCCAACAATGCAAAGTTGGATTTTTGGTTTGGGTTTGGTTTTTTGTGTGTGTGTGGCTGGGGTGTTGTTTGTTTGTTTTTTCTCTGTACTGACTGTCCTGGAACTCACTCCGTAGGCCAGGCTGACTGCAAACTCACAGAGATCTACCTGTCTCTGCCTCCTGAATGCTGGCAGTTTTCAATGGTCAGAGAGAAACCCACATCCCATTCATCAAGGGTTAGACCTTGTTTGAAGCTTGTTTGTGCTGCTACCTTAGAAAGACAAAGGAAAAGTGAGTTTTCAATTTTAAAATCTCAGATTGTTGTCCTGGCTGCATGATGATTGATGGATTAGTTCTGATTTCTGGTTGGTTTATTGCTTAAAATGGATGATTTTTTAAACCAACTACAAATAGGCTGTAAAATAAGAAAGATCACAGAGTGTCTGGTCCCACCATTGCTATACCCACACTGGTTGCCCTTATGTCCTCACCAAGAAGCCAGGAAGCTGGGAGCTGGGAGTTCTGCTTCATCGGGAGTGTTATGGTCTTTAATGAAAAGTTGCTTTGAGAAGACAACATTCCCAAAACCAGTCCCCACCTTCATAGTGCTCAAGCACCGTCTACTGCTGGTTCTTGCTGCCTTTGTTGAGTATGTGGGTATGTGACCACACTGACCTGGAAGCATTCACATCACTGTAAAACTGCTTTCTCCATGCTAGTTTCAGACCATCTCCAATTTCTTTCTTGCATGTTGTTGTATGTAAGTGTACCAGATATGCAGACATACAATATCAATTACATCATCACCCTTTTGGCCCAATCACATTTGGAATTCTAAAACAAAGGGCATCAAATTTGACAGCCAAGGGAAAGAAAAGTTATGCCCACCAACTAAAGTGAATATTTATGAACTAAAGATTTCTTATTCTATGCCCATACACAAACATTCAAATGCCATTCAAACATTCCAACCTCTAGAATATAGGAAATGACCAGCTGTTTCCTAATGCTTATAGAGAGGCAAATATGCAAAAGAGGGATGGGAGAACATTTTAGACTGCCATCTCTTTGCTTCTCTGGACCAAAGTATAAAATAATACCAGAATTTCAAGCCAAATTTTATCATTCATCCTGAAATAAAGGAATTATACCCAAATGTGTTTGTTTACTCACAGAAAATCAAGCTAGTCTTGCTTGATGTCACCTCTCCTATAGCCCTGGGTAAGGCTGGAATAGGAGAGAAACTGGGTCCAGCCTAAGGATTCTAAAATAGAAACCCCTGGATTTGCATTGGCATATCCACCTGCCCTCTGGACCAAGCCAGTCCCTGATGAGATGGAGCGTGAGATTAAATGGTGTTATTCAACATCCCAGGAACTAAACATGCTAGGCAGTGTCAGCAGAACTGAACACATGTTCAAAGAGTCAGGGATAGGGTTGCTGATCGGCTCAGCAGATGATGCAGAATGTTGACATCTCACTTCAGAGCGCTATGAAAGCGGCAAGGACCGTTTCATATTCAAGGAAAATGCTTTGCAAGGCATCTGAGGGGTGTCACCTGACAGCAGCCATTAGAATTTATTTCCTAGGGAAGACATGAGTGGAGAGGTTTGGAGGCCTTTCAGCAAAACACCACTGCCTCGATGATTAGATTCCTGGTAACATTAGTATACATCTGCTCCTGGCCAGAGAGAAATGGCCGCCTGACTTCCTACCACCACCCCAATTCCTGCATCTTGTAAATACCTCTCTGACCTAAGGTGGAGGAAGACGGAGCCTATATGAGGTTGTCCACACCCAGACCACCTCAACAGAAAGCTGATCACAGAAGAGACAACTGTCATGCAATTTGAAGTATTGAGAGAATTGCATTGAAGTTATTTGATAGGGTCTGATGCTTGCCTAAATATAAGAATTTCAGAGCATTTCAATGGGCTCTCTCTCTCTCTCTCTCTCTCTCTCTCTCTCTCTCTCTCTCTCTCTCTCTCTCTCTCTCTCTCTCTCTCTCTCCTTCCTTGTACCCAGAAAGATTGTGACTCCAGTAAGTAGCATGTTACAGATCTGGAAAAAAAAAGTGTGCTATAAAAGCTGACTCCTATTCACACATATTCACCTGGCTTAATAACCTTTGAAGTTATGGTCCTCAATCCCCATGCCTCTCTCACAACATTTTCTTCAATTAACAGGCAAGGCCTTCCCACTAAGAGAGTGGGGGGGGGGTCTAAAAATCAAAAGGGGGGAAGGAGAAAATAATTTACATGTAATAGAATTTCTAAAAGAGCAATTGAAATATATGTATCTGTGATGTTTAAAGTGGTTACAAATAGCAGAAATCTTTAAACGGTTACTAGAGCCTACACATGTCCTAGGTTTATTTGAAAATCACACGTTAAGAAGGCCTCAGGAAAGAGGGTTCCCGTGCCTTGTCCCAGTGTCTGTCTGAGTTTAGTTTCCTGCCTCTGGATCTTTGTGGCCCTTTTTAATCTCGCAGCCTCATATTCTTTGAAATACATAACTAACAAGAAAAGCAATAAAGGAAATACAGCCAGCTCAGATCCAATACTTATTATTGCACCTTTGAAGTATTTCTTTCCTGTCACTGGGCACTTTGGGTCTGCATAGGCTGTGGTGCCTCAGCGACAGGAAGACATGGACTTCTATGGCTTGCAGATGTGCTCGTGTTTACCACATCTGGAAGTGGCTTGCTTTCCATGTAGGCCTCCCAGATAGCACGCATCCGCACGCCTTTCTTACACACAGACAATCAGCCTCGCTCCAAACTACCTAGATGTCACCAAAGTCTTTAATCTTGCTAATGAGTTTTCTCAAGAAAGAGTGGGAGGGAGGGCCGCACAAAGGACAGATGAGTGCAAGACCTAGCCAGTTTTTGGGAGACAAGACTGGTCCTAAAAGTTTAGACAGATGGGCTCAAATCAGTGTACAGTGAGGGACTGAACAGAAAAGCGTGTTGCCTAAGCCAAGGCACTTTTCCTAAAACATTGATGGGCTAGATCGGAAAACTAATAAATACGTAAGGACAGAAATGTGACATGGGCTTGTGTGGGCTCCCACCAAGGACTGATTCCAGTAGGGGAATCTGTCTGCTGGTCACTATAGTACAAAGGACCACCAATATTAAACCATGGGCTATCAGCAAAGAGATCCTAGTATACCCAAGGTCAGTGTTTAACACTGACAGAGAAGTCCCCACCCAGCTTCACCCAAAGACAGTCCCACTGATGACCTCACCTGTTTTCCTTCATGGCAGAAGACAACTGCATCTGAACACTTTCCGATCTTTTATCCATGACATGACTGAAAGTTGCTACTGGGGGACCTTCTACTTACTTTCATCAAACGTGTTTTGTTTGCTTAGGTGATTTCTTCCTCCTCCCCCTCCTTTTTCTCCTCTTCCCTTTCTTCCTGCTGCCGTCACTGTTCCTCCTCAATGTAAATATTCAGGACTTCTAGACCTCCACCCCCAACAACACTTTTCTGTGTGTGACTACTCCTTGGAGGAGACCATTCTAATTGCTGTTGAATGGTGGGCCGAATCTATTACCACAGAGAGCACAATGGTACAAACACCTTCCAAGGACCAGGAAGTAGACTGGAACATGGTACCAATGGGAATTGGTTGTCTGGTGTCAAGATGAACACTGGGCACAGCATTATCATAGAGTGCTTGGTGAGGTTAAGATCACAGCTCTTTTTGCAACTTGCATCTTCATTCCATAGCCACAGAGGAAATAAGAAGGGAGCCATGTTAGATCATTCCAAGACTCTGGGTTTGTGCTTGTCTGCACTGATTACCCAGAGAAAGTAACGTTTTCCTTTCAAATGGGAAATCAGAGAAAGGGTTGGAGTGCCTCTCGTTGAGTCCCTCAGTGCATTTACTTCCCATGTAGTACGTTGATAGAAACAGTTAGGACACGTCCTGACCTAGGAAACTGGTTAACAAAGGATGGGAATTTCCTCTTGGGTTGCAGTTTCTTCACAATGGATATATATGTAACCAAGGCCTCGAGTGCTTTTACAGATCTGTAAAACACTCAACTATCCAAAAGGAAATACTAATTTTCTTAAATCATGTTACACCCACACAAGCAAGAGAAAAGTGAAATAAGTCCGAATCCCAGAATAAAACCATTTGCAGAATGAAACTGCATGTGTGAATTATTGCAGAGAATTCCTTGCCAGTTAATTCAGTACATCTCCAGTTCTTACCATCAGGAAAAACTGAAGGACAATGGATGCCTTTTGGGTTTTTTTAATTTTTAATATTGCACTTTATAGTATTTCATAAGAGACGATTGTCTTAATTAAAGCCATAAAATACCAATAATGCATATATTCAGGGCTTCTGAATATAGTCAATAAACAGTCCATGAGTCATTCTGTGTCGTTTGTTGTAAAAATGATTATCTGTTCCGTTTTTTATTAGTTACAACTACTCTTCTAGATAGTCATAATCTACTAATAAATTTTTAGGTGTATATTTTAATCAAACTGTTTGAAAATCAAAGAAATTCTTTGTTTCACAGAAGCATTTTCTTCTTTCTCAAAGTAGCTTGCCGCATGGTTTCTTTAAGCAGCGAGTTATACTACCACACTGGAAATAGTTCTTTTTCAAAAATCCTAGATTATTTTCTTCTGGAGTCCATTTGCTATGTAAAGCACGATTCATCCACATGGAAATTGAAATGGATAATTGGCAAACATGTCTGGAAAAATTAGGATGTGTTTGTGTCTGTATATAAACATACGTTGGGTCTAAGAAGTTCCCTTATAAAAAATGGCAAACAGATATACAACCTGTTGATAAACCTAAATTTGTCTGTGTCCCTAGGAGAACAAGTGAAGACAACAGACTCCATAGTGCAGTGGTAATTTATTTCCTATTCTGTTAAAAAAACAGTTTCTGACCAGGATGGGAAGTTATTCACACACATAAATGTCCCCACAACTAAAATCTTCAATATTTCACTTTGCAATATAATTTGAGTGAAAGCTAATATAGTGACTAAAAGGCACAAAATAGCCTAGAACAATCCACCACAACTAGGTATCTAAATCTTCTGCGTAAGCCCAAGTATTAAATTGAACAACTTCATTAATCTTAGGCTTTCACAGACAGTTGTCCCTAAGAAAATAGTGTGTGAATACAGAGGCACTGATGTTCCTCTATCACAGGCTGTTTAGGGGCCAAAGATTCTCAAAGAGTCAGGCTGTCCATCAAGAATAGTTTCTGTTGCATTCTGCACAGAATCCATTGTGATCCCTGTACCTAACCGTGTTCTTCTCAAGTCTCCACAAGCTTCCATTTCACAATGCAAACACAGAGAGGTGCATGAAAAAAAAAATGTGAGTTGCAAGCCAGGCATGATGTCACACCTGCAATCCCAGAACTGAGGAGGTAGGGACTGGAAACTCCTGGCCTACTTTGGCTACACGAGATCCTGTCTCGAAAGCAGTAAAAAAAAAAAAAAAAAAAAGTAAGAGTAACAAGCAACAAGCACTACCCTCCTGGTTTGATGAAGCCACTGCTAGTGCAAAAAAAATTTTATGCATTTATTATTTGCATATTTTTAAAACAGAAAATACTATTAATGCTGATTCTAACACAGATATGTGGCCTAAAAGACACAGCCTGTCTTTTAAACGGGTTATGTTAAAAATATCAAAACGTACTCAAAATCTTCTGTTTTGAGATGCTCAGTTATTGCCAACCACACCTTTTTCTTGCACTAGAACAGAACCTATGACCCAGATTTGGTCAGGATATTTCACCCAATAAATATATATAATAACTATGCCAATCAAAAGAACAAAAGCAGTTTCTTAGAATTTTTAATGAATACATTTTGGAAGGATCAAACATATCCGAATGCCATTTTTGTGAAGGATCTTTTTAGAGGAGGTCAGGGTCTCACACTGTCATTGTTCTCCTGGATGCTAAAGAAACATCTTAGCCCCTATCTTCACCCCCAAGACTCCTTTGGATGCACTTTACAGCCGTCTTTCTCATTCTGTGTGTTTGTCGTGAGCAGTTTTCGCTGGCTGGCTTAGATATATAGCGACCCTGTGTCATTTACTCTGTGACTCTGTCTGTACATAACTGGAATTGGGATTGCACCTGTACATAGGCCGTGTGGAGCAGTGTGCTTCAGTCACTCGCTCTCTCTCTGATAAAGGGCATTCCTCCATGTTTCACTGTCTGCATCCTTGTGCTTCTACTACTGATAACCAACCTGCTGAGTACACTTTATGTAACTAAGTCTCCTCGGTGTGAAAATAATAACAATAAAACAATTGACTCCAAAAGTGAGTGTGTCTTTTTGCAGGGAGGTGTTGATCCTTACCTGCATCAAGTCTTGGCACTCGGCATCTCATGAAATAAACACTCCTTGATGGCTGTTTCATTGTAGGGTCTCAGAGCCCACCTGGGGTGTGCAGAATTACTGCTGGTTGCATCTTTCATTTCTTGAATATTTGCTGTTCTCATCTGAGCTTTTACATATCCGAGGTCATTTTGTTCACTAAGAAATCTACTCCTAGAAAACTAGGTTCTAATTAAATATATTGGAAGAGAAAATTCCAAAGACCACAGTTACCTGTCTCTGATGTCAATATGAAAGTCTTGTTATTTTTTTTAAAGTGCTATAAATCATGACATGATGGCATTCACCTGTGATCCCAACACTTGGAAACTGGAGGCAGTAGGATCAGGATGTCTAGGTAATCCTCGGCTACATGGTGAGTTCAAAGCCAGTACAGACCCTGTCTCAAAAAGATTGAAAGCTGAGCGGTGGTGGTGCATACCTTTAATTCCAGCACTTGGGAAGCAGAGGCAGGCAGATCTCTGTGAGTTCGAGACCAGCCTGGTCTACAAGAACTAGTTCCAGGACAGCCTCCAAACCCACACAGGGAAACCCTGTCTTGGAAAAATTTTTTGAAAAAAAGGTCTGTGGGTGACTGGAGAGGTGGCTCAGTGATTAAGAGCAGTGGCTGTTCTTCCAGAGATCCTGAGTTCAATTCTCAGCACCCACATGGCAGCTCACAACTTTCTGTAACTCTGGTTCCAGGGGATACAGCACCCTCACACAGACATGCAATGCATGTAGGGAAAACATCAACATCTCATTATAAATATATATAGTCATATTTTTATTTGAATATGATTAAGTGACTTATAATTTTAAATGAGTAATTTATGAATTTAGTTATTCAACTCCCTCCAGTATTTGATATACACACCAGTTTCTCTCAGACGCCTGAAAAACCTGGTAGATTTACAAACCAAAATAGCAAAATCTCCTATGTCATAAGCAATTCTTATGACAAATCAAATTTAAGTTATACTAAACTGGGCTATCACAAGCATTTTAATACTATTGACAGTATAAGACAGCTCTATCTTTAAAAGTCATGAGACTAGGCCTAATTACACATTTCATACTATAATCAGATTATCCAGTATGTCAAGTTTCTTTTAAACACTGAAGTAAAAATATACTTAAAATACTCCAATGATTATAAAACTGATTCCTAAACCATACCAGTGTGGATTTTGTGAATTGGGTTTATTTTGTCATCTCCACATTCCTGTAGCATCTTCCCAGGTCTGCCACCTTGGGTAACTGAGTCACATCCGTCAGTTTCCATTGAGAGAATCAGTCCCTGACATAACACAAAAGTCCCAGAGTCCCAAATGCTACCAGGACAGATCTGCTGGAACCACAGTCCATGGTACTTCACTCGACTCTGAGCCCAGTCCCACTTATTGCCCATGGTGCCCTTCCCTACTGGCCCACACTTTCAGCATCAACTCGATTTTGCAGTCTGCTAGGCACTGTTCCTGTCAACATTACTGGGTTTTCTATTAAAATCCCTTGCCCACTCATTTGGTTCCATGAATTCAGCAGTCCTATCTCTGTGTGCAGCAGATATATAAATAGATAGATAGATAGATAGATAGATAGATAGATAGACAGACAGACAGACAGACAGACAGACAGACAGGCAGACAGACATTAGATAGATTATGATAAATAGATGACAACATGATTATAAAACCATTTCCTAAACCACAGTGTGATGCACATACATGTATGTATGTATGTATGTATCACATAGAATTATAGTCAATTAATGTCTTTATTACTTCATTGGACTCTTTATTCTTTTCCTGACTTTTTATGCTGACCACAGTTCCAAACTTTACTACTGACAATTTAGTGTCTCCACTATACTACAGACCTAGGACAGATGTACATCAGCAGGCTGGCAAAGACAGAGGCTAAGGAATCTGAGACCTAACCTTAAGCCCATGTTTATATAGAACCATATAAAAATAGCACTCTGTCAAAGTAGTTATAAAACGGATTACACCACCGTATACTTGGAGTTGCCTGGACATTTTGTGTTAGTCATTTTGTACTGACTCCTAGCCCTCCACCCCATGTCCAATGTCAGCTATGTTTTATCTGACTTAGACCAGATATCCATATCAATGCCAAGTTGTCTAAACATAAACTGAGCCTTATAGCCTTCTGTTCCTAACACCTCCATCTCATGATTTTCAATATTGGCCTATTGACATTTGAGGCTAGCAAACGACGTGATAAGTGCTGTACATTATGGAATGTTTTACCCTATAGGTACCAGTTTCATGCCCACATCTTTAATCCCAGGACTCAGGAGGCAGAAGCAGGCAGATCTCTCTGAGTTCTAGGCCAGATTGGTCTACAAAACTACACAGAGAAACCCTGTCTCAAAAAACCAAAAATAAAAATCAGACATTGCCAAATTTCTCCTACAAATAGCAGGGGGGAATAGAACCCAGTTGAGAACCACTACTATTCTACTTGTAATAATTCAGTCCACTACCTCAAGATGTCTGCTGTTTACTTCTGTAGCCCCTGTCAAGCATTGTGTAACTGAGAAACAACTTCCACTCACATCCACAAAACTCCACACCTTGCCAAAATTAGAAGAATGCAATACTCAAGCAGGAAGCTGAGTGTAGTGGTTCATGACTATAAGTCTAGTGTTTAAGAGGCTGAGGCAGAGGATTGTCATGAGTTCAAAGCCAGCCTGAGATACATACTGAATACCAGGCCAGCCTGGGCTACAGAATAAAAACCTGCTTCAAAAGAACAGCAACAAAAATCAAGCAAGAAAAACTATTTGGCATTATTTCCTCAAATGATCTCTCGTGTGAACAGAAGACTGCTGAAATTCAAGCTTTGAGGTGGCTCCTTCCTTGTCCCATTGCAAATGACCAGGCTTAGACAATTTTGGTTGGGAACTGTGTTGAGTATCTGGGTTTCTCCCTGGACAGAGCCTTCATACTCTCTGAAGAAATTTCTACAAGCTGAAAATGGAAGGACAACACATCCCCAAAGGTGTATTCTGAGGTGAGATAATTTAATGTCCTGGTAGCTGGGTTCCATACTGGAGTGAGATTGAAGATCTGTAACTTTTATCACAGCTAATAAACATATCCACACTTAAGGGAAGCTTGCTACTACATTCCTCTCATCTCCTTGCCTCCAAAAATGAATCCCACTTCTCAGAAACGGGGCCTTTCACTCTGTGTTCAACCCAAGAGTGTTTAGAAGCTCTGGATTTTGATTCTGGTGCTATTGTCCATCTTTGTTTAAGAAGAATGCCACTTATACTACTTTCTCAATGTGGACTTCTGGGTAATAGCCATGAAGCTAACTGAATCTTTCATTAATTCTTTATGAAGTACAGTTACTATTTCTCACTGTCTTTGTTTTTACTTTATTGGTATCCTCATGAGGGATTTTAAAGTAAATTTTAGAAACACTAAAAATAAGATAGAAACTCAGTACATTGCCTAATCTTGGGGCTTATATCCACCTCAACGTTTTTTTGTCACCTAGAATTTAACTACTTGAAACCTATATTTCTTTTTTGTTTGGTTGGTTGGTTTTTTGTTTTTGTCTTTTTGAGACAGTGTTTCTTTGTATTGCTTTGGAGCCTGTCCTGGAACTCACTCTGTATACCAGGCTGGCCTCAAACTCACTGAGATCTGACTACCTTTACCTCCCGAGTGGGATTAAAGGCTTGCGCCACCAACGCCCAGCTTGAACCTTGCATTTCTACAAAGCCCAGGTCTAAATTTCAGCCCCCTCAAAAAAAACCTCCTACGACTCTATACTTTACCATAATTATTTTAGCAACCTCCAGTTTTATCTTTTTAAAGATTTACTTATTTATTACATATACGGTGTTCTGTTTGCATGTATTCCTGCAATTCAGGCCAGAAGAAGGCACCAGAACTCATTATAGATGGCTGTGAACCACTATGTAGTTTCTAGGAATTGAACTCATTACCTCTGGAAGAGTAGCCAGTGCTCTTAACTTCTGAGCCATTTCTCCAGCCCCCAATTTTATTTTTATGCTAATAATTTCTACAAATTCCATGTTTCAGCACTGTGTACAAAATGTCCTCAGTGCTAAAATAATGGATTTTAAAAATGAAAATTGGGTTTAAATATTATTTATTAGTAGAACTTGAGAAAAATGAATACTTGAGATAATAAACTTAGATGGTAGGTCAAAACCTGTCACTAACGGCAAGAGTTAGAAAATCAAGGGGATACAAACTGGAAGGAAGAAGCTGAAGTATTGCTATTTGCAGATGATATGGTGGTATACATAACTGACCCAAAAAACTCTACCAGCAAAGTGGCCAGATACAAGATTAACTCAAAAAAAATCAGTAGCCTTCCTATACACAAATGACAAACAGGCTGAGAAACAAACCAGGGAAACAACACCCTTCACAATAGCCACAAATAATATAAAATATCTTGGGGTAACTCTAACCAAGCAAGTGAAAGACCTGTATGACAAGAACTTTAGTCTTTGAAGAAAAAAATTAGAGAGGATATCAGAAGATGGAAAGATTTCCCATGCTTACGAATCAGTAGGATTAACATAATAAAAATGTCCATCTTACCAAGGACAGTCTATAGATTCAGCACAGTCCCTATTGGAGTTCCAGAATGATTCTTTACATATTTTGAAAGAACAATACTCAGCTTCATGTTGAAAAACAAAAAGCCCAGGATACTTAAAACAATTCTATATAATTAAAGAACTTCCAGGCAGGAGGTGAGTGGCCTGCTTGCCATCCAGGGACAGGGTGCTCTGCAGGCCCAGGCTTCTGCTAAGGGCCATGTCTGGGCCTGTGGTCCTACTGCAAGTTGACATCCATGACCCATATTGGCACCAAAGGCCACAAGGATGCCCAGGGTCTGGGCCACCACCTGTGGCCATTTTGGTGTCTGAAGCCCAAGCCACCCCAGGACCACACTGATTTAATGGCCTATCCTGCCACTGGGGGACATGATGAAGCCTGGGCCTGAGCTGCTGCTAACTAAAGGCCGTGTCTGGGTCTGTTGTCCTACAGCGTTCATGGTCTATGTTGATGTCATGGCCCAACTTGCCACCAAAGATCACATGGATGCTCAGGTTCTAGGCTACAACATGACTCCTGTTACCACCAAGGGCCATGCAGATTCCCAGGATCTAGCCAGCCACCTGAGACCATGTTGGTGTCTGAGTGCCATGATGCCACTTGGGCAATACTGATCTGCGTGGCTTGTGCTGCCACTGGGACCATGGTGATGTCCGGGCTTGAGCTGGGTCCATGTACCTGCTGCAGTTGGGGTCTCTGTTGATGTCCATTGCCTGTTTTACCACAGGGTTTCATAGGAACCATGCATGTTGAAATCTGAGAACTGTGCTGAGCCAGCCCCACCCTTCACCGGCCCTGGATAGCTGTCCCTGTCCCTCACTGTACAATTTGCAGAAGGAGAGCTGGCCCCACACTCAAGAGAGATGGTCCTACTCCTCGCCTTGGGCATGAGACAGCTGGCCCCAATGACGTGGGCCTAAGAGAGCTGGGCCTGAGGGAACAGTCCTGGTGGCCCAGACGGACCATCTCAGCTACCATCCAGACCCACATCCTGGGCCTTGGGTTGGCCTGCTCTAACATCCACTCCATCTGTGACCTGCTGGAGCACATGAAGGGACTGGCCCTGCAGAATGATAGCCTTGGATCTCCATGACGTGGGACAATAGCAGGACACCCAAGAGGACTTTTGGTGAGGGTCCAGTGATGGTGGTGTGCCAGAAGCCTTGAACCAGACCAATGACTCATTGCAATGAACATTTGCTGGTGGGACTGACTGAACAAAAGGCTATAACATGTGACACACGCTGCGCCTCCTGATGCCGCTAGGGGGGATGAAGAAGTATTGGAAACATGGAGGCGTGAGGGTGTTTTTGTTGTTGTTGTTGTTGTTTGCTTCGTTTTGTTTTGTTTTTGTTTTTTATTAATTTTGGGGGGTTTCTTTTAGGGGAAAGACACTACGGTGGTGGGGAACAGGTATGGAGGGATGGGGAGATGAGTGTGGTTGGGGGGCATGATGTGAAATTCCCAAAGAATCAATAAAGGATTATGTTATTAAAAACTGGGAAAGTAGCTCACAGTAATGAAGACCACATTATCTTAGTTGAAATTCTGCTTCCAGCAATTTGCTAATAATGGTGACCATTGCCAGATTATAGCTATTGTAAATATATCACACATGTCATACCTATAAAATCAAAATGACAACCTTTTAGAGGTCATCTTGATAGCTTCCACAAACTGGTTGACAAAACTTGACCAATGAAAGAAAGCTACCCTAATGTGACTATTTTAAAATCATTTTGGATTTGGGTAAGGTAAACAATCCAAAAATGTGATTACTATAATCTAAGACAAGGTCCAATTCAAATGTAAAAATATAACTCATCGACTGTAAAAAAAAAAAAACCACCACTGCCTACTAAATTACCATTCTTCAATACTATAATTCAATAAGAAATGGGTTCTTGTTTTAACTTTGTGTGGCTCTAAATTTAAAAGGATCAGGACCCAGAGACTGTGTAACCTAGAGACCCAGGTTAAAACCAAACACAACCAGCAAAAAAAAAAAAAGTCAATGAAATAATTCCTAATGATATTCTGCTATACTTCTAGACCAGGGCCTAGCATAATAGTCATCAGATAGGCTTCATCCAGCAACTAGTACAGGGACCCACAGGCAAACATTAGGCAGAGCTCAGGGAATCCTGCGGAAGAGGGGGAGGAAGGATCATAGGAGCCAGAGGGGTCAAGGACACTACAAGAACACATCCCACAGAATCAACTAACCAGGCCTCCTGGGGCTCACAAAGACTGGAGCGACAGTAAGGGAGCCTGCATGGGCCTGACCTAGGCCCTCTGCATATATGTCGTGGTCCTGTAGCTGGGTCTTCCCGTGGGACACCTAACAGTGGGAGCAGGGCCTGTCTCTGGCTCTTTTGGTGGCACTCGGGACCCCTTCCCTCCTACTGTGCTGCCTCATCCAGGCTTAGCATGAGGGATGTACCTAGTCGTATTGCAACTTGGCATGCCATGTTTGCTTGATATCCCTGGGAGTCCTGCCTTCTTCTGAAGGGAAGCAGAGGAGCAGTGGATCCGGTGGGTGGGGGCAAGAGAAGGGAGGGGAAATGGTGGTGGGGATAAGTGATAGAGAGGGAAGAACACATTGGAGGGAGGGAGGCAGCGTGAGGGAGGGACTGTGAAAAGAAGCCTGCTCATTTAAAAGACTTAAAGTCTTTGGTTAGCTCATAGCCAGACAGTAAATTATAATATTCTAATTAGTTGAGAATTACACATGAAATAGTAAAGGCTTTTGCTGAAAATTTAGTACTAGAATTTCCAGTAAACAACAATAACCACAGAAAAAATTTTTTAAAAACTATTAGATATGCCCAGGCATATCACAAAACTATTGGGGTGTGTGCATACAGCTCTGTCAGCCTCCCATAGCAATGACCCAGGCACTGTGGCTGACTCAGGTCGGGAAAACTTGGGAACATTTACTTGGCTGTCTCTGTTTCTTCCTAGAGGTTCACCCAAACATGCTACCCATTGCCATTGTAATTACAGTGGTCCTTGGGGGAGGAAAAATTACTGCTGACCACAAGGAAAATGATGAAAATGATATTCATTCCCCTTGACCTGGCATGGCCTTGAGAAGATCCTCCAGGCGGAGGGAGAAACCTATCTGTCCCCAGCATCCTCAAAATCCCTCCTCCATCTCTGGGTCATTGCTGAAACTTCATTCTGGTATCTTGTCTCTGTAGCTCAACAAGTTCCAACCAAGAGGCTGCACCCATTTGCAAATCAGAGGCACCTGGAAGCTTGTAAACTATTCCTGTAAATCCTTGCGGGGCCCATTTCCCCGGCTCAGGTGAGAGCTACAGACTGCCTCTGTTCAGGGAAAAGGTCAGAACAAGTGTTGGTTATTAAGAAAAAGGTTAATCTTGTCAGCCAAGGGTCCTTATTACCATGGGAATTACAGCTGGCTCTAGGATGCGGGTCCCTTGATAGTGCACAGAGTCCTATGTTACATGCTTTCAGCCAGCCACAAATGTGCCGGCCGGCCAGGTAGGGCTCAGGCCTAGAGTGAGGGTTCGCGGGCCCAGAGTGCAGAAGAGAATAACTCCCATCCCTGTTCCCCAAGTCTGCACAGTCTACAGAAGCAAACGGGTGTCAAATACAGGTCTTGAGCTACAGTGAGCAGCCAGACGGCCTGAGCGCAGAATCCCAGCTCTGCCACTTACACGGTGAGTGTTCGGAACATCTCTGTGCCTCACTTTCCCTGTGTAGAACCTCTAACTGTTGGACTTCATCAAATCAGCTGGTGTTTCTTGAAAGCCTCCTAGAATGCTTCCGGGTGTGGACTGCCTAGGAACAATTGTTATAAACAGAAACCCCTGTACCATTGGCTCTCACAGGAAGGTCTCACTTTATCGTGGGGGGGGGCAGAGAATGTTCCAGAGAAGGATGGCCTCTGGGATGCACTGGAAAAATGAGAGATCTGAGAAAAGGAGGTATTTATTCCTAGCAATAGTTGGGGAAAGGTATTATTCCAGGGAACACAGCTCAGTGGGGTGAGGAGGGGAGACTTCTGGGAAAGAGAGAGAGAGGCAAAGAAAGGGTGGGCAGAAAGGCATCAGACAGGGAAACAGTCTGGATGCTCTCCTGTCACCCAAAGTTCTCCCAGCAGGGGACATGGCGAAAAGAAATGACTAGGGTTGACTTCAAAATAACTTAGGGGTACCAGAAGAGCAGTCTTCTGTTGACTGAGCATTGCTGAGGAGGGTGATGATTGCTCAGGAGTTCACTGTGGTATACTGTCTGTGTTGGACAGAAACTTTCCATTATACACAAATATCTTTAGAAGAATAGCCCAGAGAAAACCATCCATCTTTTTTCTATGTGTATGGGGGGAACATGTGTGTGGGTGCCCACGGGGACCCGAATGAGCATTGGATGCCCTGAGCTAGAGTTACAGGTAGTTAGTTATGAGTCACCCAACATGGTAAGAACTAACCTCTGGTGTCCTGCAAAAGCAGCGAGCTCTCTGAAGCCCTGAGCTCTCTCAGCCCTCGTCACGCTTCTTTGTACTTGAGCTTGGAAAGAGAGGATTTTCATAGGAG